TTTATGTGCTGGGGTAACGTTCATTCACCTCCGGTAGTACATAACCATACAGATACACTTATTTGTCCATTTGTTATTTGTGGTCAAAAAGGTAAGGAGAACTGCTGGTGATGGGAACGAAGAGGAAATCAGAAAGGGCAAGAAATCAGCTTCTAGAAATAGTCAATAGAGATGAGATAAGTCAAAACCCAGAGGTAATAAATATATAACTTCCTGATTGTGATGTCAAAATACTGAGAATAACCAATTTAAGTCAGAACAACTGAGTTATAGACCAGAAGGTATTTTAATTTGTCATTCAACAGGAAAAGTGGAGGTGAGTCTAAAAACATAAATAGTTTTTCAAAATGTCCCTGCCTCAAGGGGATGACAAGGTGAAAATATGTCTAATCCTTTAATAACTCCTCCTCTCCAACATCTGACATGTCAAACTGGTACATTTACTACCTTTAAATTCAGTTTTTTGTTTCCGTGCCAGGGCTCTTGTGTTGCAGATACTGGCTCATGATTATGGTTTATTGCTACTTTTAATTGGAAAAGAGCCATTGTTGATTTTTATCAGTTTCACCTGAGCTTTTCATGCAATGGCAAGACACAGAGTGCAGAGTGCTGATGAGATGAGTCTCCCAACTCTTGAAAAACATGAATTTGTCCTCCTGATAAAGTATCTGCACCATTGGACAAGAGAAAATAGTATCTACGGAGAGAGGGGTCAATCACATCATCTTACTTTCAACAAAATGATTGTCTTTCAATGGATTGGGTGCACAGCATACATTTTGACTTGCCACAGCAGGAAAAACACAGGTGAGCTTGGCTGAGTTCCACTAAGTGTCCTAGTAACAGTGACAGTTAACCAGCACACACAATAGCCAGTCCTCCCCAAAGTGGAATGCTGCAATCATTAATACACCTGTGAGTTTCCTGCTATGACGTCAAAATGTCTGCTGTGCAAACCAAACATTTATTACCCATATGTAGATTTATTTATGAATGCAGTTTTAAGGGATACAAATTCTTGTATTCACTCAGTAGTTCCAAGGCTTCAAAATATGGTTATGGTGTTCTATTTCATTTATTTCCCAGAAGTCAAAATGTTGTTCAGTGTGACCTCCAAAAGGGAACAGTGATCAGCACAGAACAATGTTTACTGACTCCACCTATATACCATCTATTGTCCTGTGTTCAGTGCTGTGTGACATGGCCAGTGAATGAGTAATCAATGACTGAGTAATACCATTGGAGTGGAGCTATTGGGTCAACCCTTTTTTTGTAGTAAAATGAATGTCAGACTAACCAAGCCGAGGTTTGAGAAAGTCCTTTGGTTTAATCTGATCAGACCTACAATAATGAGGTGAGTTTGGATGTTTTCACACTTAGGCAAATTATAGAGACACAAGGCAGTTTATCCTAGAGTTTTGGAAGGCTACATTTGGTGAAGTGAGGAAACTGCTTTTGACAAGTGGTCCAGAAAAACAGCAAGGTGTGTTTCTCCGGAGTCAACATGTGACCATAGGACACAAGCATGTCTGGTCATGGCTATATTGTGGTAAACATTCCACAACCGTGAACTGTGTTCCTTATATTAACTTTCTGCTGTATTACGACTGGTCTGTGGGACATCCTTTTGACCTAATTAATTCTGTAAAAAAATCAAGCAGAATTGAAAAAAAAAAAACCTTCTCCGAACAGCAGCTGTCCAATCATAGCTTAGCAACTATAACTAGCGACCTCAGGCCTGTCAAGCTCTGGATTCCTCTACATGTTTAGGCGATGTGCAAGGGGTTCTAAGAAGAATGAAGAGCGATACTTGGTATCCCAAGAGTGTGGAGCGTGGTGTCTTTTTCTTTTTTGTCTTTAACTAACACAAAAACAAACACGGAAGGAATGGATTAAACTTAGTCTTTATCTGCTTGAACAAAGCTCTAGCAAATGTTAACTAGCTTGCTAACTAGCTAACTACCTACAGTAACTCCAGCCAAACATGTAAGATACTGTAGTGAGAGTCATTATTTCGGCTGATTTCGATGCTAAATATGCAACTATGATCACTGTAAATTGCACATGTGCCTGCAAGAATGGAAAGCTCAGCAACAGTAACTAACAATAACAGTCCCATGCACTTTGTTACCAAATAATTACAATACAGTTCATAGAGAAAGTGACTTTTTGCGCATCAAATTTGGTTAAAATGAAAAACTAAATAGAAAACTAAATAGATACTGCGGGTTAAAATGAAGTGGAGAAATAAGGAGGTTGTCCTGGTTCAGGCCCACTGAAAGGGGATTGGGATACCCAACCATCACCACCACCACCTGTACCAATCACACTGCAAAGACTTAATGAAAAATAGATCCAATGCATGTAAGTGACAGGGCTCTGCAGTCATGTCCCACTGTCAGCCACACACTTGGGAGTTAAAAAATAAAAAAGGCTTCAAGAGTTCAACAAAGCCCTTTACATTTTTTTTACAACATAAAAAGAAAAAGACTGTTCAAAATAAATTGTTTGAAAAAGTTCTAAAAGGGAAAAACAGCAGCAGGAATCCAGTGACTTGAGGATACAAACAAATCCTGTAGAAACCACAGGAGCCTTGGCCTTAACCTCCGCTTGCTTTCAGTAAAATCTGCAGCTTGTAACCCTCTTAAGATGGCTTTAGCCTGCCAAGAACATGTACATAGCGTTTCACTTTTTCCACATTTTGTTATGTTACAGCCTTATTCCAAAATGGATTCAATTCATTTTTTTCCTCAAAATTCTACACATAATACCCCATAATGACAACTTAAAAAAAGTTTGTTTGAGATTTTTGCAAATTTATTAAAAATAAAAAACAAAGAAATCACTTGCACACACAAGTATTCACAGCCTTTGCGATCAAGCTCAAAATTGAGTTTGCCAAAAGGCACCTGAAAGACTCTCAGACCATGAGAAACAAAATTCTCTGGCCTGATGAGACAAAGATTGAACTCTTCAACGTGAATGCCAAGAGTTATGTTTGGAGGACACCAGGCACCGCTCATCAGGGAAAGATGAATGCAGCAATGTACAGAGAGATCCTGGAAGAAAACCTGCTCCAGAGCGCTCTTGATCTCAGACTGGGGCGACGGTTCATCTTTCAACAGGACAACGACCCTAAACAAACAGCCAAGATATCGAAGGAGTGGCTTCAGGACAACTCTGTGAATGTCCTAGAGTGGCCCAGCCAGAGCCCATACTTGAATCCCATTTAACATCTCTGGAGGGATCTGAAAATGGCTGCGCACCGACGCTCCCCATCCAACCTGATGGAGCTCGAGAGGTTCTGTAAAGAGAAATGGTCGAAACTAGCCAAAGATAGGTGTGCCAAGCTTGTGACTTCATATTCCAGAAGTCTTGAGCCTGTAATTGCTGCCAAAAGTGCCACAACAAAGTATTGAGCAAAGGCTGTGAATACTTATGTACACATTATATTTTCGTTCTTTATTTCTAATACATTTGCAAACATTTAAAAAAACCTTTTTTCATGTTGTCATTATGGGGTATTGTGTGTAGACTTTTGAGGGGAAAAAAATGAATTGAATCCATTTTGGAATGTGGAAAAAGTGAAGCGCTGTGAATACTTTCCATATGCACTATACAGTATCTGTACTTCAGTTTTTCAGAGGAAACGGCACACATTATCAGCCAGGCTTCTGCCTCCCTGAAATGAGTTCATTTATCGTTGGAGCTTCACAGGTGCCAACAATTAAGTAGGCTGATTGCCTGAGGAGACGGGTGTCTTGAAGGATAAGACTGGTGTTAGTTTATCTTTTTGCCATTATCAACAAATCCCATTACAAGACCTTCCGAGAAGCATTTAGTAAAAGCTTAAAATAGCTTACACGTCCGTGTAAGAGCTCAACTGTCATCCTAAAACACTGAGCCACCTTCATTGTAATAAAGAAATCTGCCACCCAAAGTTATGTTTGTTTTGTGATTTTAAATAGCCTATTGCACAAAAATGGAGGTCTATGGTTTTATCAGGCTTTGGTTACAATAGTGAGATGTTCATTATATTTCAGGGAATTTGTTGATCAACTCGTGACTCAGTGAGATTGTACAGTGGTGCTTTGGGTGACTAATGGCAGCCTGCTCACAATAACAAAGTCATTGCTGATGTTTAGCAGGTATAAGATAATGTAAAATTAGCTGAAGGTGAAGAGAATGTCATTAGTTTTACAGGTATTTGGTCATGAAATTAAGTAGTGGACTAATTAAAATTTTGACCTGGTGATTTTGTTAGATTAAAAATCATGGGATCGCCAATTACTGACATCTATTCTGGAGGGAACATGCACAGATGTCTGTACCAAATTTCATGGCAATCTAGCTAATATATCTCAAGATATTTCAGTCTTGAGTAAAGTCATAAACTGACCAAGTGTCCAAACACCCAAAATGGCATGCCAGGAAAAAAAACTAAATTAGCACTAGCCTAAACCTAGATTGATCCCTGAACCAACAAGATACATTTGGACAGAGAAAATGAAAGAGCCATGCTTGCCTCCCCCCGAGGACGACCACTGAGTCGCCCTCGAGCGAGACCCTCAATGCCCAGTGGCTAACAGATAAAACTGTGGTTAAACTGGGCAGCTTCCAGGACTTTAATCTGTGACTGCTGTGCAGGCCAAGCCTGAAAACACAAGACTAGAATTGTCTTTCGAAACCTTTTTCTGAACTTCTTGGCAGACAGGTGGACTGTTGAAAGACAAGTCTGGAAAGGTAACAACTGTCCTCTTTATCATTATTTTAGCTGGAATATCATATCATAATAACCAGAGTCATACAGCAAAGAGGGGAAGCCCCTGATGTTGATGTACTCGTTTAAACCATCACAGATGGGCTGACAGTCGACAGATAAGATAATTGATAAAATTGTCATTATCCGCTGAAAATAGTATGAAAAGATGATTTAAACTGCATTTATATACTGAGAAATAAAACAAGTTTAAAACAGAGAGAAAAGTCTTCCCACTCACCTCGAGATGGGCAGTCAGAATCGTCTGTTCTTCGTCAGTCTGACTTTTTAACAACACATTTTAACCTGTGCTGTGTGTTAGACGCTTGGTGAGAAGTGACTCAACACTGGATGAGTTAGCCTGACTATGTGTGTGTGTGTGTGTGTGTGTGTGTGTGTGTGTGTGTGTGTGTGTGTGTGCACGTCTGTGTGTGTGTATCGCTCTGGAATGTGGAAAGATTTTCTGCTTAAGGAACTCGAAATATTTCTGGCTGCACTGACTAAAACAACTTCTAGGGAAACAGAAAAGAAAACGGTTTTCTGCCTTTAACCCAGTAAATAATATAATTTGTATTAACTTAAACAATAGATGTTTACAGAATCAACAGCAACATGCCTGAAGAGTGCTGGTAAAATGAATAATAGATTGTTCTTAATCTTAACAGTCAGTGGCAAATGTCCATTTAACATCTTTAAATGTGGTTTGAAGATTTGCTGAACATAGAAAAGTTGGTAGCAATTCTCCATATGGTTTAACTGCAGGATCTTTGCATACTGGTGAGCTCTTCTAAAAGAGTAGTAGGTATGCATAAAATACACATGATTTTGGGAATGTCTGAGTGTGCACTGCTGTCAAGGATTTGGTCTGAGCTAGCAGAGTGAACATAATCTGTTGAGAATATGGCGGTATCTGCAATCTGCACATATCACAGTAGTTTTTTTATTTGTATTTCTCCACTGTTTTCGTGCCCTTACTGAACCCTGCTGCACCAAGATTTTATTTATTTATATATATATATATATATTTAGTGTGTGTGTGTGTGTGTGTGTGTGTGTGTGTGTGTGTGTGTGTGTGTGTGTGTGTGTGTGTGTGTATACAGCTCTGGGCCTGTTTGATAAGGCTATGGGTCACTGGTCTTGCAGTAATGCAGAATTGAATGTAATGGTTGAGCCAAAATGTTCAACTAACTCCTACTAGTCAAGATGCTTGACCTCAGCCTTATCCTACAGTGGTTGAAGAGTGGAAGGACTTCAACACTAGGATACTAGTGTACACAGGTAAGAAGTTGGTTATGGTTTGCAAAACTGGGCCAGTTTAGGACGTCTGTAGTCTCAGTGTGATTTGCACTGCCAACAGGAGTTCACAACAGTGCAGTCACAGAAGCAGCTGTATTTCAGTCATTTCAAGATAAAGTTAAGGATATGGTTTCCATAAGGTGATGGAATTTTTGACACTCACACACACTTCAACAGGGACATTTCTGGAACTTTTTCTTTTTAAACTTGTGCATGCCATTGTTCAGCAGGATGTGACGGTGTGCAGTATGAGGTAAGGGTGATTCACATACAACCATTAAAACACATCCCATCATGGTTAAATTGGGCCATAAGAAACAGCCTTATTCAAGGAGGATATGTCAAAACATGGGCTAGTAAAGCTCAAACACTTTCCATTTGTAGATACAAAAAAAGAGTGTTGTAATTTGGGTGAACTCAGCCTTTAACACAATACAGTTTTATTTGTCATGCAGATCACAATTGAACTATCTTTACTCCTCAGTGTGTTGAGAGACATCTGGAAACAATTACAATAAAATATGGTTTGATTTATTTTCTGGGCATGGGTTTAAAATCTGTGTCTGTGCTTCTGCCACTGAGAAGATTGACATGTGAACTTCTCCACTGGATGCATGTTTGTGTGTGTGTATAAAGGAGACAGCCCTTGTTTGCGTGTGTGTATGTTCCTGATAACTGTAGAAGAATAGATGTGCCAAACCAATTGAAAAGAGGATTTATATTTAATGACTCCTTGTGCTAATGCATGCCTAACTCCAGACAGAAAATATGAATAGATTGAGAGTAAACAGCAAGCTTGCAGAGGAAGATAGAGACACCTCTTTGTTCTCGAGTACAAACTTTAGGAATTGATTGACTTGTGCAACAGGCTGGTTATACCCCTGAAGAATCTCAAGAATTGTCTTTGAGTAAACCTCAGTTTAAAAAAAAAAAAGGCTTCTGATGATATAGAGCCTGGCCAGCAATTTAAGTGTGTTGTGAGGGCATCACTAGAGGAAGGGCCATAGGGTCAATATTAGAATTCATCCTTTTAAAACCATGAATATCCAGTGGCATGTTTTCTGCTTCCAAACATCCTACAATACAGTTTTGCTGCTCAGGAAGACCATAGCTTGTATCAGAAGGGGAAATGAGTCTAACCATGCTAGCAGCCTTGTACATACAGTGGTACTTTGAGGTAAATGCCAGCATTGGAACATGTTCACAATGGCAGTTTGTTTCATTTTGGAAAAAAGTGGCGGCAGACAAAGCGACATTGCTACTTCCATATCGCTAGCATGGTTAAAAATGTTTCTAATTATTCTGTTTAATATTTATCCCCATGGAGGCTTGGTTTTTGCATAGTCATTGCTGGAAGCTGACTCATTTGTTCCTTTTTTCTTTGTCATGTCTATGACTCATTTTATTGCACACGTTTTACCCAGAATACTTTGATTCAGCTCTGTTTTTCAGCTTTTGCGGGAACACTGCCAGCTGCACTTTCACTGCCAGCTGTGCTCACTGAGTCTGTGTCACAGGTTTTCCTCAGTTTTTTTTTTTTTATTAGTCATGATTTCCTGGAAGTCTGTTATGCTGTCCTTTAGGGCCTATAGTAAGTTGGTAGATGTTTGCCCCTCTGAATATTTTGTGTGGTTTTAACTCATTTATCTTAGTCAAACAGACTTTTCTTTTCATTGCATTGTCAGTTCATTGTCTTTTAAAGGACCAACAAGTTTATTCCTGTTCTTTTACATCCAGAAATTGGTGTTTTTCCTGCCATATCAACAAGGCTCTCTCATGGCAAGGACAACAAATGATTTAACTTGACTATTCTATTGCAATATCTATAAATCTATATTATTTATACAGGTTATTAAAAATAAAAACATATGAAATGATATTTTCATTTCTGGTTGAACTTATATATTCATGGTCGTTGCTATTTGCAGTGATAGTGATATACAGTGCACAAGCCCAAAGAGGTGTCACCACATCCTTAAAACACATTTTCATGCACAATAAGGGCACCAGCAGAGTGTGTGCAGAGAGGAAGGCCAGTAGACGGGTAGGCAGCCCAGCCAATAATTTCATTAAGGCCGAAATGCTTCGATTGGCTTATCACAGGTCTGCGACAACCACAGATAATGGATTTTTTTTTTTTTTTATTCCCAGAGCATTGATTTATTGATTGCTGTCAGGATGCAAAGAGAATTTCAGCAAATGTAGCCAATGTTAAAAAAGTGTCCTCCGTGTTGACATGGAACACCATCTGTGTCCACTTTGCTCTGTGAAAAAATGTGAGTATAAAGCTGAATCTCAAAAGGTGGTTCTGAAGTGTTTTAAGAAAATGTACACAGTGTGAAAATCCATCCTTCCTGACAACCTTAATTGGCATGCATGTATGTGATAATTAAGAGGGATAGCAGCAGACTCTTCAGACGGGCATAAATTGACATTTCAGCCATAAAATATCAATCTAAGAGGGCTGCTTTTCCTTTTCAAGTCCTATCATACAGCCTACCAGCTGGGGTTACATCATCTCTAATTATTGGAGCAGAGAGGTTTGACACCCATGTTACCCTAGTTCTGATTGGTGGAGTTGATTGCTCGCTCTAGACTCATAAAATGCCATTAATCAGGGAGGAGGAGGCTACAACAGAACGGCTGATACAACATGAGAGCTGCCAAATATGCTGGAATCAGGCTGAGTTTAAGTAATGACCAGCAGAGACTGGACTCATGACTCAGATGATGTCAGTGGATTTTAAATATCGAATAGATTGTATATCCTTTTAAATATTCTTGTCAATCCACAGAAAATTGGCCAGCAGATGGTGATGAAACATGCTCGTCTTGACGGGTACCTCCAACTGAGTGTCAACCATTTTGTGATCTGGTGTGTGCAGATTTCCCGCATGCACCTTATCATTTTAACAACTTTCTCCATCATTTTCTGAGATCTCTTAAAAAAGGAATAAGAAGGAAGAGTCTATTTAAGACCTATAAAGCTTAGTGAAAATAAATTTGGCATGTTATTGATAAAAAAAGGTTCTTTTTATTTATAAATCTTCATCTTCCCTATGAAACATCAGACCTTTATTTAATCCTTGATTTAGCCCTTTAAACATAGACAAACAAAGGGATATTGTACCATAAACATGATTTAGATAAATGTGTTTACTATTAATTTGAAAAGGTCAGTTTGAGGTGCTATTAGAGTTGGGATTTTAAATCAGTATTCAAGTAACTAATAGATTTACCTTAGGTATGTAAAAAAGTAATATAAAAAATGATGGATCATAATTGATTTATGGTTTTTGAATAGGTTTACTGCATCGATCAATTTGTTTTTAAAAGGGAACCCCTTCCCCCCCTAAAACTGACAAGTTTTACCTTAATTTGTAAAAGTAATTAAGGCCTTTGTAAGACACTTGTTTCGCGATGGCTTTAATGGGTTATCTGATTTAAAGGGCTTCAGTTCCATGGTACTTTCAAATAAACACAATAAATCGTTTCTTTATACTTATATTTTATTAATTTTCACCGCACATGTTCAGGGAAACACATGTCAATATGGATTTGTTACATGAATATCTATTACACTATAGATATTTGTTTTTTTAAAAATACATGTTATGAGATGGCATTAGAGTGGCATGGCACCAATATAAATCTCTTTTTTTAATAATAGAGTTTGGCATGTTACTTTTAAAATTAGATATATCAAGACACATAATCATGGGCACACATCATGTACAGTACTTGACACTCAAAACCCCAGAGCAAACAAAACAGCGACCCGCTTCACTCGACATCGATTTGTTCACAGCAGATAGCGTGATCTACTAAAATGGTTTCCTGAAGGCAAATCAAGAGCTTGCTTTGAAGGAGATTAGCCTTTATCGGACTGGCTGACGATGATGGATGTGAGTGAATGATAACTGAATTCCGATAAAGCAGCCGTGTATATATCCGTATCAAAGCAAGGACTTGAACACAGAGGAAATGTTGGTAAATGCTATAAATCTTAATTCCACACATTAGCTTGAAAAGTGTGGATATAAAAGCAAAGCCTTGTTGAGTTGAGGATGATGACTGAGTAAAGTGCTGAATGATGGAGGCCTGATTCCACCTGCCTACTCCTCATCATGAAGAGGGGGAAATGCAATCAGGTCTGCACAGCAACACCTGTCTGACCATGTTTAACAATCTGTGACACAAGGTCCTTTCTCTTGCTGAGAACACAAACCCTCAGTCCCAAATCCACACTATAACACCAACCTATTCTGTGTGCAATGACAAAAATACACCATGACCAGAAAATTGGAGCGTAGTGCTGAGCACAGAACTAGTGTCCCACAGCACAAAACTGAGATGGAGGAGCTATTAACAGGTGAAAAAAGTAAAAAATAAATAAATTAAATAAAAATTTAAAGATAAAACAGAATAACAATTGTTGTTGATATTGAGATGGCTCCTATTTCTCCTTGGTAGTTGTGGCACATATTCTCGAAAGGCTTCTCCTTGATCTACTGTGGCTTGGATTGTACCTCATTTGTACAATGTCACTTTAGACAAAACATTAGTAGTAGTTTCAATGTCCAAGTACATTCTTGTGCAGTCAGGAGAAGTATTGTGAGTACATTTAATGACATAATGGACTCATTTATAGTTTTCCTTTTCGAGAGACTCTCTATTTTTCCTCCTGTAATTTCATTGAAATATAATACTTTCAGCTCCACTTTCACTGCATCTGATGGCTGTATTTACTACTAACTCTGTAGATTATGAATTGGATAAAACTCCTTTATTCCGCTGGACCAGCAATTAAAATACTGCTCACTGCATCAAATATTTAACACATTTTGAAAAGGACCATTCTATGGTTATTCAACACATCTGGATATTCCCATTATGTTCGCATTATTAAATAAAGATTTAAATTACTTCATTTTACTAAGCAGAGGGTTTTAACACTTACTTTATGGTATTAGTACAAGCCATCATACTACATACAGAACAATGTTAATTGCCTTCTACAGAGACCCATCAGACTTTCCCAAAAAAAACGCCTCACAAGAGAAAGTCTGTCACCTCTATTCTTAGTGTTTAGGCAACTAAAAGTACTTTGCTGAGGCTTAGGAAATGTCACAGTCTTGGTTGGAGATGGGACCTGAATAATGAACTCCCATCTCAAAGTCACATGCTTTGGTACGCCATCCACCAACCACCCACTGCAACGTATTAGCTTATAGATATCAGCCATATGACAGCAAAAGGTCACTTATTAGAAAAACTTCAACATACAGTGGGTGACCAATTCTGTCATTTGTTATGTTGAAAAAGTCTCTACATGTGTATATAGTATGGACTTGGGACACAGTGAAGAAGCTTACGATGCCAGATTTCATTTGCCTAATTAGCATTGGATAGCACTGGCCTCTCCTCTCATAGTGAGTCAAATCACAACGACACATACACAGCAGTTATGGTTACAATATAAAGGAGGTTATACAGGAAGATGCCTTGAGCATGTCTGAGTATGTTGTTGAGTTATTTTCCTGCCAAAAGTCTCTGGCAGCATGGACTTTGTTAACAGCCTCTACTAAATGTTTACCAGCACTTGGCTGGTGGCTGGTGATAATTTCCCACCCTGGTGGCGACACAGAGACACAAAGAAGCTTAATATGCATGTCAGACCTGCAGTAGGTTTGTGTTTGTGGGTTTAGTCGTAGAGATGTTGTACACGCTGTCAGGGTTTGTCCGAGACAAAATATTATGCGAGGTAAGGGCCGAGGGATTTTGCGAATTAACAGAAGAAGCAGCAATAAGCGCTGGGCGGATGAGGTGGCTCAACATAGCTTTGTTTTTTCTTTTTTTCCCTTTTTTTTTTGGCACAGTCAATAGCCCGCGTCAGTGCAATGCAGAAAGCAAGCAGATCCCTGAGCAGCAACGCACAACCGAGCTGGGTGAGAAATACGACACTACTTCACAGCTGAGGACATGCTGCCCTTTTCCCTGACGGTGTAAAATAAATTCTTTAATACGGTGCATGACGAGTCGGCTCCATTGTCTAATTAGCTATTAATGACATCTCTGCCACAGTGGAAGGCTCGGCACGGCCAGATTTATGTAACATTACTGAATGATAATTCTCAAAGCTCTGGAGAACATGCTAATCCGCTGCATAATTCATCACCGCACAAGCCTACTTCTTCAGTCAGCTGATCAGTATTCATAAGGTTTGGCATGAGTTTTTGGCTTTTCAGTGCTGTTGAACTGCAGCTACATTCACAACTCTAATTTCCATTTTACATTCAGCTTTTATCTGCTTTCTTAGTCTTAATAAATGTTGTGTTATTAGAGGAGATGTTAAAGGATGATGCTGCGGATGTAAGGTGATGTTGAAACCTAAAGCCGCTGCTCATGCTGCTGGTTGTGGTTGCTGCTGTACATCAGTGAAGCATCTTCATGGAATCTGTCAAGCCTTTTGTTTCACAGCATAGCGATACAGGTAAACAATAACCATTTTCTTGTCTATTTGCACTGATGTCCCTGGGGAGAGAGGCAAAGCAGTCAATGGTTACGTATGACATTCTAACTATGGCATAAAAACCCAAACAATCAAGACAAAGTTTCACATACGTAGGCAGCAATGGTAGAAATCAGCAACTGCAGAGCAGTAAAACACAGGACATACTTCACACGTCTAAGTACAAGCCTTTTTTTCTCCTGGCAAACTATAAAATGCAAGCTTAATATGCAGTTCAATTTAGCTTCATCTGCCCTTATGATGTATGTGTTTATTGAAATTGCTATAGCGAAACACCTTGTTCACATCTTTACGCATTGTTGGTTTGACAGAAATTGGATGTCATTTGCAGCATAGCTCAATAGCTCATCTTTACTCCGTTTTCTAAAACCTGATGGACACAATGACGCCTACATACCCAGAATTAGCAAAAAGGTAACTGCTGTTTGACATAACTTGCAACCACCATCTCTCCACACCTAATACAAAAGGTCCAGAATCTAAACTTTCACGTTGATTAATAGAGATTGATTTAATTATTCAGTGTTTTTTTATTAAGACTTTCTTGTAAGATTCTGAGTGTGGTTTGCTCCGTACTGTTAACATTAAGTAACTTTTTTCCAAAGGAGCTGTAGGCGATGTTGTGTTTTTCACATCCTGTAAGACCGAGTGGTTTGTTTCTGATGCTCTGGGGAGAAGGAAAGACGATGGTATGTAAAAGAAAAGCAACGGACAAAGCTGTGAACAAGGCGTAATAACGATGTCTGATACCATCTGATAAAAAGATGCAAGAAACTGCCTCGTCTGAGGAGGAGGTGCTGAGACACAGTGATGTTCGAGAATGAGCTCTTGCCCATCCGCCTACTTCCTGTCAAAAAGCTGACACTTCCTCCCAGCGATGTTGTTAGACTCAGCTGCACTAATTATAGCGCCAAGTCCAACCGAGTCTGCAGTATTCTGCCTCGACTGCAAAATTGTGCTTAGGAGTTTATGTCCCAGAAGTGTTAAGGCTTTTAAATCTCAATACCAGACATTTTTCTAAGTACTAATGAGCTATACCAATAAAGTTTAAGAAGATGAATGACTAGATGTAAGAGCGGTATTAAAGGTTTATATATTCACAAATAAGCACAATCAAGTCGATTTCAAAATAAGTAGAGAAATGGTAAAAAGAATTGGCCTGGTATTGGTGGTTTTTTTTGCCCCACTCATACGATATGTTTATCTTTATGTGTCAGAGAGGAAAGGTTCGCAAAGCACCTAATTACAGTTTAATCTAGATTTGACTTGCAAGACCTGTCAGTTCAAGGTCCTAGTTATTTTAGTCTGAATGTTAATGAATGTATTTTACAGTTCTGATCTTATTAAGGCAGCTGCAGCTGCAGATATATAGCTTTATGCAAAAAGTACAGAATTTAATCCTCCATTCAACTGACGTTTGAGTCTTTTTATGGGAAAAGGTGAATTTTCACTGTTCGACCCAACCATGTACTTCAGTGCTCTGTGAACCTAACCTCCTAACAGCGGCTCCTCGTCTTTGCTGTCATTGGGAGCCAGTAAGGATGAGGGGTTAGCATTAGTGTTAGCAGTAGTTAATGGAGCCACAGGGCAGCCACGGCGAGCAGGAGCGACGGCCCCAAGGTGGAGGCCAGGGAGGCGGCCAGGAGCCTGCCGTTGTTCACCAGCCTGAAAGAGATAACCTCCACCTTGAATCCATCCTCAGTGGCCATGCAGCGGAAGACGCCTTCCTTCAGGGGCGTGTCGACAGCGGGCCCCAGGACACAGAAGTCCCCGGAGAAGAGGCAGGGATAGTTCCTGACACAGTTGTCTTTCTCCCAGCGGTAGGTGGCGTGGAAGGAACGCACAGGGCAAGCAAGAAAGACAGAGGTGTTGGACTGCACAAAAACTTCTTTGGGGGAAGTTCGACGCTGCTTCAGAGCTGTAGGGATAAAGTAATGAAGAATTTTATACCAAAATTAACCCTTTCACAATGCAATTGTAAATGTTGATTATACTTCTCTCTGTGATCACCTTAAATAACTCCAAAGCGGGACAGCCCATATGTCGTTCATTATTTAATATTTGCTGCTCTAAATACCAGCAGCTTTTGTAGATTTTTGCTCAGTCTGATTACCACCCTGGCAAAGCAGGCAGCAACATCAAGCTTCCAGACCTTCAACGATCCGATGTCCCCATATTTATTGTTTATCAGTTGGTTTGAGGTTTTGGATTAACTGCAATTTCAATTGGCAATATGCAAAATCACAGCGTCAACAGAAATTATACAGGCTCTAAGTTGGGTCCTGCAATACCACCTTTCTTGTAGGTGCCCCCTTAGTGGGTAAATACAATCATAATCTTTGCAAGGGAAAAAATGTCGTAGAAAAAAAGTTGTAGTGAAAAGATAGACAGATGTGTGCTGTGATTTATTCTGAAACACAATGATTGGGTAAGTACTTGATTTAAAAGCATTCATTTATTCTGTCTAAGAGGACAAATATGTATTTTAGATTTGGGGGTGAACTGTCCCTTTTTTAAATAGTATTTTGTTTGCAAACCCACATGGATTGTTGTTTTGTTTTGTTTTTTTATTATAAAGTAGAATAATGTAGAGTAAAGATTTTAAAGCACATTGTGTGAAGCTTTGCAGTGTGCAGTGTGCTCTAAGATATCACTTAATGATGATCTTTGAGTATTACTTTCTGGGGGAAAGAAAGCTCAAAACTTGTTCTTGTATCCACGGGCAGGACAGGTGGCACCACTGACACAACTGGAAATAAATACAATGTTAAAATCAGATCACTTAAGGAGATAGCCGTCCCTTCAGAGGGGAGTAATTGTAGTGATTATTCAGGGTTATAACTAGGTTTCGAGCTTTGAAACAGGGCAAGCCATGATGTGAGAAAAAAATCTCTCCCTGCGGGTTTTTGGACTCTGTTCAATTATATGATAATCATCTTTTTACTGTAGCTGCTCAAAGGTTCCTATTTTGGTTTAATTAAGATACAGAGAGTGGGAGAGAGCAGATAAGGGCTTACCAGCAGCTTCCCCACAAACCGAGGAGTTTGAATGGTCCAGATTCTGAACGAGTGCCCTGTTGGAAAATAATAGAGAGGACAAATTAGCAGCATTAAATAGTTTCACAAATGGCTTATGAGCCACCACATCAACCTACTGTTACTTGCAAATTAAAACATGCAGAGACAAATCATTCAACAATGTCAGGGGGAAAGGAGAAAGGAGTCAGAGACTTATTACAGCACATGATTGATTTTTATATTATCTCTAAAAATTGGAACTGCACAAAAACCATTCAAGCCGAAGCAATTTAGTAACTGAGTGAAACGCAGTATTAGCTCAACATGCATTTTTGATGATTGTCATGTTTTTCCTTTGAACTGCAGTTTCTTCATAGTTAAAGCAAGTTCAATCACCTCAGGGCCAATGAGCATCAGTTAGGATACAAGTCGTTATTTCTTTAATTGCAGACGTATGCTTCAGATCGATTGATACTGACACAGTGTTTTAAAAATTGCTTATGAGTGCCCTCTCCTTTTATTGTCAGTTCGTGTAAGAACAGTCTCTGCAGCAGTGACATCATATCTGATCATACCCAGTCGTGACGTTGTATCCAGGCGGGATGGCGATGCACTTCCTCCTGGCTCTGTCCCAGCCGCAGTACGGATCCCGGGAAAGGATGCACTCCCTGCATGTGTCGCCATAGCGACCGCAGTCAGCCAGTGGCAGTCGCTGTATCTCCATCGCTGTACCAACATACAGGTGTCCCTAAGGAGGAAAAAATGCAATATATATAATGTATTTTCTGACTCGACAACAGCACCAGCATTACTGGAATACATCAGCCATTGTTATTCAAAACTGCAGACTTGACCAGTTTTACAAAAAAAATTAAATATAAAAATAATTACAAGGAGTCACTGTCTTTCCAATTTTGTATTCATTTTAGGGCAGCAGAGCCTCTGAAAGAGTTTTCAAACCAACCAAAATTCTCAATTAAAACCCATAAATGAGGAATTTCTATATGAATGACATGACTTGAAGATGTTTAATATTTTACAGAGGCTAGTATAGTTTCAAATGGAAGATTAAACAGCCCCATCCATCCAAGCATATCCATGTATGTATTCAGATACAGACAACATTTAGAAATTTGTGGAAATTCCATAATAAAAAAATTAATTAATAATAATAAAATTAATAGACACTTAATTATCATAAGAATTGCATAAAGAAAACACAAAAATGTTGTTTAATTCTAAATGATGCAGAGTAGATGATGTAGCAAACTCTCTGACCATCTTAAAACTATTCAGAGGCAGAACTGTTTCAAATTGAACTCTCTAACAATGAATTCTGCACAAATACTAATCACATTTCCTCCCTTCCCCTTTTCGACTCTGATTGAGTCTGTGGTTATTTTATGGCTACGATATCCAGCTACAGTATAATTAATTTTCCTTACATGTCTGAAGGGAGCCTGCAGCCTTTCTCAGCCCTGATTTATTATTTATGGTGAGAGCAGGAATGCAACTTAAATCACCCTCTAACACACAGTGTACCATTATTCTTCGTACCTTTTGGGAGTCGATGGCCATGTTTAGGACGGGGCCCTCATTGTGAAACAGCGAGTACTGAGATATGATGAAGACCCCCTCACTGGTGTGAAGAACTTTGAGAACTTTGCCTTGTTCTGTAGAAATAAAAACAGACATTGTAAATGGAGTGGAGGGACAGATCACAGGTCTGCATGCTTCTAAACATCTGAAAATTCAAAAATACAGAAAAAGACAAGAGCATCTTTAGTGTCGTATGTTAGAAATGTGTGTATTCTGGTTTTCTCTTTTTGCAGTCTTTGTTCTGCTGTCCAAAGTGTTTTATCAATACATGGACTTGACTTGGACAGCTTCCACTCTTAAGGGAGGCTGAAGGGCACAAAGACAAAATGGTAGATTAGAGCTGCAGAGATTCTTTGAACAGGCATTTGTGAAGCGGAGCTTCTCTGGAAAGAGAAATAGTGTAACTGTACTTGTTTAACCTCAATGGATGAATCCAAAACCACAGTACTGGCTACAGTAATACAGTAGAGGAAGTATATTATTCATAGCAGAGTGAAGTTCAGGTTAAGCTCTGTAGAATTCCTTGAATACATTCAGCAATGGAAATCAAGTATTGTATTGTATTCTGGGTCAATTATGGATAAATTACAGAACTGAAACGATGGAACATTTTATGTCCTAGAACTTTTGTCCTTGCCTCCGGCTGAGATCTTTTCCATTAAAACTGCAGATGAGTGCCATTTGACTTACCAGGTTGAATCATTTGTAACTACTGGCCATAACGTAACTCTATAGTATGAAGTCTGAATTAGATAACATGCAAATAACCCATGGCCCCAAAACCTCCATTCCTAACCCCCCTACTACTGCAGAAACTTGGCAGTTCAACATGGACCATAGAAGAGGACAAAAACACAACAATACTTATTTTCAGGTTATTGTACACTAATGAAAACATAATTTGAATATTATATTCAGTCCTGTGTGATCAGGAAGGGCAGTAAGGTCTTAACTGCTGATAGACACAGGGTGGATATTAAAAAATTAGGAATTCCTGCAATGAAATCCAAGCTTGCATTTGCTTCCTGTACCTGCTCCTAATACAGAAGCTAAGTGGAAAAAGTTAAGATAAAGAAGTTTGCTAATTTCATCGGATCTACTACAAGCTGAAACAATAGCATAGCTTCTGTTAGCGAGGTTAGCTTATTACTCTGCTTTTGGAGCTTGTGTGTTTGGCTGTTTGCAACATGTCACAGCACCACGTCTGTGTGAATATTTGATCCAACTATCAATTTGGTCTTCGTGAATTGGGTTCCCTGTTTTTAGAACAAAACACCCCGGCAGACTCAGAGGCCTGCTAGAATATAGTATACCTTTGTTTAATTTTGCACTGTTGGTCAATACTGCTGTCTCGCGTGCAGCTTGGTTTTGAAACTGGAGGAGGCATTATTCTTGCTGTGAGCAATCACTCTGTTTTGTGCAATAACCTATTACGCCACCAGACAGCTAAGTGCAGAATCACTCTCACAGACTGTGTACAGTCTAATGCTCTGCTCAATATTTCTTTATTACCTTGTACCTTTTTTGGTGCAAAGTGTAGGGATATTTCATTGGACTGAAAACCAATGAAAGTGTTCTTGTAGCTACTCTTACTATTTGCATTCCCTAACTCATTCCCTCCAGACGACAGCTCCTTCCTTTCCAAATAATGATTTCTGAATTTTGTCACGTCTAAGATTATTTTACCTTCCCCACTGTGAAAATATGATCAGAATGATACCTTTTTATCTTACATCTTAATTTCCTGAATGCTCCCTCCATGAGGCACTTTCTCATTTGCAATTAAGCAGGCAGGTTCTTGCTGTCACATTGACTTCTTTTGTCCTGAAACTGTCTTTTCTCTTTTTCATAAACTTCAAATCTTTTTTCTTCTCTCTGTAGTCAAATACAACATTCCCTATTGTATCCAGTTTATTCTCATATGATTCTTTAATCCTGTCTACACCTATTTTTAGCTGTTTTATCAAAACAGTGTATCAGCACAAAAACAGCAGTAAGACATTCTGAGGGGGAAAAGGGTGACAATGCTGAACTCATAAGGCATCTGCTGAGAGAATCTGTTTTTAGTTTTATTTATCAAGGGAGAGTTTGCTGAGTGCATATATTATTTTACAGTAAACACCTTCCTTACCACATTTTTACATCTATTCAGCCTTATTATATAAAAGCTTTGACTGTTGGACACAAGGCCATCGGCCAATACACACATTTTCCGTGCTGAGCTCAAGATTCATACGCTCCCTCTTTTACTAACAAGATCTGTTTCCTTTCTCTCTGAGGTGCAAGCTATACACATTAACACTGAGGTACAGTCTTTTACTTCCCTCACTCATATTTTTCCCAGTCAGGCGCCACCTTGGTCTGCCTCTCTCACCTTTAAGCTACGGGCACCTCGAATGTCACACTGTGTGAAAAGAAAATAGCTTCTGATCTCAAACATAAAGTCAACTTGAAACAAGTGTATGGCTCTGGCATTTCTTCCATCCCTGAGGGGAGCTTTCTGCTCTATCGCCCCCATGACTGACATGGTCCAAGCAGCTTTACTACTTCTGGTGGTCAATCTGTCAGTGAGTAACTGAAGGGAAAGAAATCTTTCACTACTGCTCGTTCTTTTGTTTCATTTCCAACAGTTGCCAGCCTCAGAGACTAACTGCTCCAGTTTTCCTCTGGTTCTCAAAGGTCTACAACCTTTCATGCCTCTTTTGCTGTTGTCTTTTTAAGTGACTCTTTAGGGCGCTACACAACATGCTCACAAGCAGTCATCTTTGGGCTGTTGAACTTCAGTGGCTGGCTGTAAATTTTGCAATGTGTCCAGCACTGTTGGTTCCATCTGGCACTTAGCAGAGCTAACTGACTTGCAGTTCAGCTTAGCGAATCAGTGATTTTACCCATTTAAGTTTCTCTTCTTTTCTTCTTCCACAAGCCAGACACCACAGGCTGAGACTTCAGATGTATTCGACAGATTCTTAAATTGTCTTCAGAGCATATTTTTTCAAAAATGTCTAAATAGACCTGTGGCATCATGGTAGCAGTTTGTTGTGTGTGTCCTTCCATGTTTTTTAAAATAACTTCACCATTCAGATGACCAAATAACCATTCAGATGGTTTTTGTTTTAATTATTTACTCATGGATCCACCTTGCTCTGCAAAGCCCACTATCCTGGAAATTAAGTTCATGATGAGCAAATCTGTTGCGCAGATTTTACCCCCAATGCAGGAAGGAAGTAGTGTGTCCTTAATTTAGCAAAGAGGACTGTAAGGGTGAGGATTAGATGGATGTCTAACACACCACAACCACCATTAACCAGGTGTTTTAGTTGCCTGTATACCCTAGCCTAATCTTATCGTTATTGTGATTTGCAGATATTCTAGTGACCAAAAACTCTTTAAAAATAAATTAATAAAAAGGCCCTATCCAGAGCCAGTGTTTGGTTTGTCCATTCTGGGCTACTGTTGAAACAATGGCGGTTCAACAGTGGGAGGAACCGACCATTATAAGGTAAGAAAATACAACAATTCCTTCCAAATATTCTCCTAAATGTTACACACTGGACCTGTAAGACACTAAAAGGGACTGAGACAGAGACTGGGAATAAGAAGACCCAATAGCAAAGACTTAAAATACCAACCATTAAGTGGGACTTCAAACTCCAGCTTGTTTGGAAGAGGACATTTATCAGAAAAAGGAGTCCCAAAACTAATATTGTGCAAAACAATTAATACTTTTTCTTGAGTGCCGTCTATAGAAATCAGGTCACAGTCAGTTAAAGAATCAAAAACTTTATTTCAGTTTGATTTAAAATTAACTAAATATGTTTTTTGAGGAAAAATTAAACTTGGACCCTGGGCAGTGCTCTGGCAGAACCACTGCACTACCTCGAGTCTATTATGAGTGTGACAGTGGCTTTGCAGCTGCTCGCAGTTAATATCCTTGTCTGCCATGTTTCCAAGATGACAGATATTGAAGCAGCTGGTTATTATATGCATAAATTCTTCTGAATTATTTGCTGGCTGATGATCAAAAGACAGAGAAATTCACTTTGTCAAATCCTGCAGCGTTCCGTCAGCCTGCTTCTTACAAGGGAAGTCCCACAGAGACTAGTTAGGCAGGTTTAAAACTCAGAGTGTACAGTAAGCTATTTAGATAATTAGGACTCTAAACTAAACTTGGCACCGCCCTGTCAGTTTCGTCTAGGTCAACATTATAAAGTGAATTCCTTTAGCCTCCAAATACATTTCTGTGCCACACTGTGACTAGAATAAACAAGATGTGTGCCTCAGCGGGTGGGGAGACTAGATGAGAGAAAATTAGATGAGTAATGTTCTCTACTTTCATAGCCGCCACCATCAAGGTGCCCTTGTGGATGGCACCCTACAGGCAAGCCGCCATACTTGGGTGTTGAGTGGCCAAAGAGTTTTTGAACCCACTCATAAATAAACCGCTTGATTATTTTACAAATTGAATCAAATACATTTTGAGGAGGCTTTTAAATGTAACCTTTTGGTATTTCAATTAATTTACAAATGGAATAAATATTTATTCCACTCTGAATTTTTAGACTGCAATATTTATGTAGTATACAAACATATATTACATACATATTGCAGTCTCCTTTTTCACAAACAATGAAATTACATATGAATAGCCTGGCAGGTCATCGGGCTAACGCAGAATGTTTTTTGGCTCGGGTCGGGCCTGATTTTCTGCTTTACTTTACTCTACTTGGGGCCTTACAGAGCAATGGTTACCTGCTCTAATATAAGAGTGGTAATGTGGAACCTTGGGAAAGAAAGGGAGTAGCCCTAGGCTGTCCTCCATATTAGGATTTCTATAAAGAAATATAATAATAAATACATTTTTAAGCACAGAAAAGATAATAAAGTATATATGTCTCTTGAAACTACATCTTTATATGAACAAGATCTACACGCTAGAAAGGGGAGGGTGAGGCAAATTGGTTGCAATCTGCAACCTCACACCTAGATGTCACTAAATCCTACACAATGGTCCTTCAACATTTACAGTTTCCATTTTGTAACCTCTTTAAACTTACAGACATATGTGTGCTCCTTTAAACATTAAATGGGGCCCAAGCGACAGAGCAGCAGCAGGAGCTCTTGCAAATATAATCAAGAGAAAGGAGACCTGATGAGAAAATAGCTGCTATAATCAGCACACAAATCAAGTAAATATACCTGGTTTAGATTTGTGAATATGTCACATACAGACCATCACATTACTCTGTGGATGGTCTGCTTTCCACAAATGAACGCACCAGAGTTAGTTTGGAAGCAGACATCTGCTTAACTTTTAAGGTGGACTCGATGTACTTGTTGTTTTGCCTGCAACCGAGTTTAAATGACAGTGTTCCTACGAGACCAAACAAGAAAAATGAACCAGATTTAATTTAGTGCACTAAATAGATTAGGTGTGAATTCAGGCATTAACTGGCCCTCAGCAAATATATTTATTGTTGGAACTCTCAGAGTGATATTTGCTCTTCAGACTAATATCAGCTATTGCTTTTTCTTGCACAAAGGGCTAACGGTGCGGTTTTTGTCTTTAAGCTCGTCTTTGTGAAAGATATTTATTGGAATTTCCATCACTAGGGAAGACTAATGTCTCAGGGCTACCCAAAATGCATCTGCTTCGATTTCACTGTCAGTGGTGCAGAGGTGGACCCTAGCTCGCCACATCTATTCTTGATTGGTTTAACTGCTCTAATGCAACTATTCATCAGGAAGAGCTGTCTGTCTGCCTCACTCACTAAAGATTGGATTATTTCAAGAATGCAGCCTCTCTCCATCATTTGTAGAGATACGTGAGCATGTTCGAAATTAATTATGCAGATTGACGAGCTTGACTTGTTACAAGCCTGTGTATATTTATTGCTGGTGCCCTAAAGTCAAGGTGATGCAATATTGAACAGGAGAAAAAAGGAATGCGATCAAACCAGAATTTAAAAAACATCAGAGGAATCCAGGCCTTGTACTAGAGCAGAAATATTCAGAGGTAATGGCCAACACATGTTCTTTCACGTGGCCACACATTGCCTGTTCTTGGAAATAGAAAAGAACAGGAAACATTCAGTCAGTGTGGAACAGCAGATCTCCAGGACAACCTGTTCTTCTGGCCTCAGATACAAGTGTGACTCAAACTGCTCTAGTTTCTTTTTAGGCCACCACAGAGACCCGTTGCTGTTCATAGCTCTCTATCCTTTCCCTCCCATTACTGACACAGTTAGTAAAGCCCTCAGTGAGAGGCCGTCATCCTGTCTTTTTTAACACTATATTGTTTTCTATAAGTTATTATTAGAATCAACCCAGAAATGCCTGATGAATGACAAGGACTTATCCAATGCAGGAGTGAGAAATTGTGCTGCAGTGGAGATGATGACACTCTCTCATCTTTCCGTGAACTTCAGCATGGTGAGACGCTCATACGCACATGAGCATATGACTTGTGATGGTTGCCATGGTAATCTCCCTGAGGCTCAAGGCAATTTTTGGAGTAACTGCTATGGGCAACAGCAGCTCCTCAGCATTGCTGCTTTGATCAAACAGAAACAGTCGTGTGATGGCCAGGAATCATTTGAATAGATTTTGACCCTGTGTCACTTCTGCACTTTCTACTATCCAGTGCTTGAATTAAGAATCTTTCAGCTTTATGCTTTATTTTTTTGGCACAGTATATGAGCACTAATGAAATGTCTTTTTTTTTTTTACTTGTCTATGTTGTGTGGCTGAACTGGTAGAACCTTGGGTTGTTTGGCTCACTTAGCCCGATAAAGTTCTGTTACTGTTCGTCTTTATCAGTTGCAGAGTAGGATTTTTCCCCCTCTTTTCACTCTTACTTCCAGAATGACCAACCAACAGAATCAAAGAGACATAAGCAAGAAAATATGTACAAAAATGGGTCCTGCTTTAAGGATTTTGTAACATCCTTGGTCTTATTTTATGCAGTTTTTGTCCTCATATCTTTTCACTCAGTTTAATTTCTTAGATCTGTGACTGAGACAACATTGCTTCAATGCAGTCCGTCGGGGTCAGACAGGTTGCAAAACAAGTCTCTCATTTAAAACAGCAACAATAAGTATTTCTTTTATTTTAACAATCAATGAATCAGATGACTATGTATTGTGAGAGCGGCTGTCATTGGGACGAACCTACAGAGAATTATCACCATTTCTGCAGTTCTGCAGAGCATGCTAGCCTCTTTGAAGCTCAGAGTTTTGATTTAACAGCAGATTCAACATTTGGTTCAGTCTCACCTCTCTCATCAACCCCATTTCCAGCAGCAGCAGGCAGATGTTTTAAGCAAAAAACCTGAATAAACCAGTTGCACACTACCTGCCCATCTCCAAACAGAGAATCTACTGTAGAGTTAAAGAGACTGATTTTTCTTGCCCAGACCTTTGGGACCATTGTTCTAGGGCCAGTTTTTTTGGTGGAGACTAATCCAGAGCTAAAAGAAGACATAAAAAAAGAAAAACACAACTCCGGTGGGACGTTGCTCTGTGTCTCCTGGGTGTGTTAATAGGCTATTGTTTGTTAAAAGTTTAGCTCAAGCAGCTTTTAGTATGTTACAGCTATGTCTCTCGACTTGTTTTTTGGAGCTTCTTGTCCTTCTGGTGGCCAGACAATAATTGATGCAGCTTTAAAATGGAGTCTTCCAAATCATGAACTTCCCAACGTCCCATATTCAATAATGAAACAAGGCATACCTTCCCACTGTTACTCTATATAACAAAATCAATGAAGTGGAGATATCATCTCCATTTAACACACACACACACACACACACACGTATGTACATGTACACACACCTGTTCCGAGGTAAAGGACGCTGTAGTGCTCATCGTTGACCGCTAGGACAATGTCTGCCACAGTGTGTGTGATTTGGTCATCTGTGGGCAGGTCGAGTGGAGCCACACCGACAGGCCGGATCACATCCTCAATTTCTGGGTGGTATCTGATCACCCCGAGGTTCTTGATGTTGTGACCTGCCGCTGTCGAGTTTTTGACACACTGAGAGGAGAAGTGATGTAATCAATTCAGAGCAGGCTTGGCTCTTGAATACACAAAATGCCTTTGGACAAAGAGCTCAAAATTGCTTTTCTTTTATTAACTCATGACTTTCAAAAATAGCACTTCAATCTTTTTCCCTCTGAAATAAAGGCTGACTCACACAATTGCTTCCAGTGTTGTTTTCCTGATCTGTGTGACAAAAAGAGAAAGAAAAAACCTTGTTCATTTTTCTTACCATCCCAGGGCGACCAGTTAATGGACTGCTGTAGCCCTTCAGTTTAGATGTGGAGAAAGCCTGGTCAATATCTTCGATGGAGTAAGCACAGATCACTGTTCTGCCCCTGAAAAAAGGCAGAGAGAAGGGTAATTACATCCACAATAAAAGTAGGGCAAGTCATTATAGGGACATGCAGGGAAACAGCTAGAAATTCTCAGCCAACCCAGGGCCCTTAAACAGTAAATATCTACGATCGTTGACTTGTTATGGGGCAGTGGACCCCTTAGAGTGAACAAATATCGCTTGTTACCAGTTGAATAGGTCTAAAATTTGTGACCAGTTAAATTAAAGAGGTTTTCTGTCTCATTTGCTAGTGGCAACCAACTAACTATCTAACCAGCCAAATGCTAATTTTTACTTAGTGTCCCCTGACAAGATGAGACACTGACCCCCAAGCCAGATACTAGGACTCCCCTTGTTTTGGTAGTAAGATTTCCTTTTTCTATGGGATCCAAGATATGTGTAGCCTAGCTTAATACAAAGACTGAGGCAAGTTGAAACTGCTAACCTATCTTTGTAAAAAGTGCAACAATATAGCTTAACAAGTACACATTATCTATTGGTTTACTGCAGTGGTTCCCAGCCGTTTACCCTAAGGCACCCCCTTTCTTTTCTATCATTGAGTAAACTGACCCCTGACTAAGTGACTTAATTTAAGACTATTATATCATATTCAGTGCATAAAAATAACAGTAGGGAACAACCAATACTGACACTGTACAATGATCACAAATAGTGAACGCAGAAACTGCAGAAAGTGTAAAGTAAGCAATTTGGATGTATTTTGATTGATACCAGATTATTTCCTGAGTTTGTTAAAAAAAACAACACTTGCAAATTCGTCATTGAAATTTAAACATTATTTCTCTTGGTAAACAATGAGAGACATTTTCTGGCAAACGTATTGCAGAAAATTCCACCAGTCTGTTTTGTACTTGTATTATCAGATGTATGACAATTATTAGGCAGATTCTTTTTCTAATGAAAAACTGCTGTTACAGTTAAATTAAATAGAAACTAACACTGATAAGACACTTTTTTTCAAAAATCTGATATAACGATGAAATGAATTTCTTGTGTGGGCGTGTATATTATGTGTCTGTTTATGTCAGGAGGTGCTGCTGGTATGTGGTGTGTACTGCTTTGTGGGTGGATGAGTGTCAGTTTCTTTGTTATCCTTTAGTTTGCATGCCTTATTTTGTTACCAGTTTGTTTCTTTAAATTATTTACATGTTATGTGCAGGGTTCGAATGTCATTTTTTTAACATTCAAAGCTTCTATTGAGGTTTTCAATTGAGATTCATCCTTATCAGTTGCCTGAATTTGGATATCTGCCAATACAGATGAATATCTTTAAAATGTGCATTCAGCCATCATGATGAGACTTTAAGACAACCAGACATTTACCATAATATCAATGCAGGCTCTAACCAACATGTCTGCTTCTTTCTGTACATCCATCTGTCTTTTACCTACGTTATGCTGTATTGTGTCAAAATCCGTGAGGACAGAGCAACCGAAAAAGACATAAATTGTTAAGTGTCTAATTAGGTTTCATCTGATGTTATTATTAAAATTAGCCTAGCAGCTACTGAGTTACTTTTGACAATTTATATGCTATTCTGGACTGCACATAGATGAACGTGCATCGACGTTGATGAGTTCTTTTGAACTAGTATGTAGTACGTTGTTTTTTATCTCCCTTTCGAACCAACATGAGTTGAATCAAGCAATCAGTATGTTGACTCCTCTGCTAGCCCCTGCAACCAACAGTGTGGCTACCCAAGCTTCTCCAACTACGTTCACAAAGACATTTATGAGTTACAAGCATAATTCTAGCTTCATGCAACACAACAAAGCATCTTTGTTTTTTCTTTGTTTTATATCCACAAATTCCTCAAAGAGCATAAAAAAAGGCCATTTACAGTGTAATTTCCCTTAAGCCAATTAAACTGTGGAAGTGTTTATGATATGTTCCAGCTCACCATGCGTTGGAAAAGAGGCCATACAAGACCCCGGCCCTCTTGTCCTGTGCTGTCAGCACCACCGCCTGTTTCATGTTGTTGTACTGCTGCTGAGTGTTTCCTGCACCGCACATCACCCGGGCCTTCATAAAGGTGGTCCATGAGTCTGCCAACAGGTTTTTGATGCCCCCTTCATCCCCCTGGAAATAACATAAAAGAACGGTGACAACAAAGTCATTAAAGGGCAGCCAAGTGGCTCTGATTGATTGATTGATTTAGATTTTTACTCTGTGTTCCCTGCCAAGATGTGACACCATGGACTCCCTGTCTCTCCTGTATAGGGACATTATAACATATGATATTCTGACCAACAACTGCTGCACCCAGAGAGATTGGTTTAAGATGTTTTTAATATAACTTTTATAACATAAATAGCTTTAAATAACTGGTAGCACAGAGGTAGCTAGCCTGGCGAGACTTTGGTCCAGGGTGCGTTAACCTTAGATCCTTATTGTGATGTGCCAGCTTTTCACACTTTCTTGACTCTGAGGATCCTGGTAATTCTTGGATGTTTTGTTGACTAACTTGCTACAATCAGACAGATGTATTTTTTCACTTTTTGACAGTTTCTCAGAGGCTAACAAATTCTACTCTAAACATGCTCGGACCTCTCTTAAAGAATAATAACAACATTTTTGGAAAGGCCATATGCTAATTTGTTGTCTTGTTGATACTTAGACGAGAGGATCAATACCAATTTCATGTTTGAATAACAAATAAATACAAAGCTACATCCAGTATAACAGAAAGCCTGGAAACTGTGTAGGTGAAAAATGCAAAAGACCCTTTCTGTAGCCAGTTTTTGGTTTGTCTGTTCTGGGTACTGTACAAACATGCCAGTTCATCTGTAGATATAAACAGCTTCTATATTCCTATATTCAGGTGATTATACACTAAATTAAACACATTTATGAATATTGTATTCAATCTCTGGCAATAAATCCTCCTAAATATTATACACTGGACCTTTAAATGAGGTGCTGGAGCTATAGACTATAACACTCAATGGAGAAAAGCATCGGAACACCTACCAGCAGCTCTAAAGCTCACTAATTGACATGTCAAAGCATAGAGATAAAAAGGAAATTGATGTAATTTAACACTCATTTAACCGAAATAAGATAAGAAGTGTATAATAAGATTTTGGAATATTCCTCTAATTAGCAGAGAAATTCCATCAATATCTGAAATTAATAATCATCACATTTAATTTTAAACCTTACTTTTCTGCTCTTTTCATTTCTCTTTTGATTTGGGTTTCTTTATCTGAGATCTGCCAGCAGGTGTTTTGCCTTTTGACAGCTGATTGGGAAACACCTGCTTTGACATCACGTATTGGGAAGTTAAGAAATACAACATGCTTACAGGAATCTACCCAGAGCAGTGCAGCACAACAGAACTTTTGTGAATCCTGCAATTTTAAAGTATGTGCAGATTTAGTGTATATGAAACAGAAATGGTTTATAAAATGTAAATTTGATAGTAGAAAATAAATTATAAATGACAGTATATCACTTTGTGTTATGTTCCATTCAGTTCATTTAATTAGGAATTCACTTAGAACCAGTGGTTTTCTTTCAAAAACACATATTCGCAAAAATCTCCTGGCCTCAGATACTGTACATGCAGTCTGACAAGGGGTTGCAAAAGTACAAAGAGAATTGGAACAAAGACCTGGATCCATACACATTTCCTCAAACACAGGCACATAAGTGGGACTCTTACCGTGCAGATTCGGCCAATGCGGGCCCTGTAAGGCTCCTCGTCCACACTGGCTGTCTTGTTAAGCTCACTGAAGAAGAAGTAGATTTCCTCCTTGAACTTTTGTGAAGATGGGATTATGGCTGCACCCGCAAACTGTGGATCTGGTGATGAGATTTAAACATGTTCACTGAGGTACAATTTACTTTCAAGATGTCTCATGGATCAAGCAATTTCATCTTCTACTGTCATGGTTTTTTTTAAGAATGTACTGCTAATATTAAACTGTATGTAAAATGAGGAAATTATGAGAATCCACAGGAGTGTAAATGGCTGCTTTCAGTGGATATGTGTCTGATTTGCATTTTACTGCTGTAAATAATTTGACCCACACCATGAACACAATGACAGCAAATACACCTACTTGTTATTTTTCCCATGGGAATGATAGTGGGTGATTTAGAGAGAGTACCACCCACCATCTCCATATTCATTAGTCTAAACCTTTACGGTTTCTGCACGACTCCCCTCCTCCTACTCACTCAGCAGCCAAATGTTCTCCGTCTTCAGGAGTTTCTGTGAGCCAAATGTACGCCGGATCATGCCGGGGTGACCTGCCACCGACGACATAGCAGAATACAGACTCCCATCTGAGACAGCGAGGGAAAAAAGGAGGGAGAGGAGAGAGAGTGAGCAGTGGGTAAAAAAATACGAGGTACAAGAAAGATTGGAGTGACACAGAAGGGGGATTGACTGAAGCTGAAGGAGAGGAAGATACAGAGACAGAACATTAAACACAGGGAGAGATAGTGAAAACAGAAAAAAAGGAGGCCCAGGAGGCCACAGACAGAATAAAAAAACAGGGGGGAGGGGAAAAGGAGAACAAGAGCAAAGAAGACATCAAGGCAGACTGCACGGATGAGCATCCACCAATCCCTATATTCTTATAACCCCACTTAGAGCGTTGTCTCCATAGCAATGCAGAGGGGAGGCATTTTAAATGGTGGCAGTAACATCTTAATTAGGACAGATCGTTATTAGAATGCTGCTCAACTCAACCAAAGGGCCGGCTTGTTGCTTCAACAATCGATCCCCATCTGGAGGAACATCCTGCTGTGCAAACTAACCTCTCACAAACAACCAATCTGCGTTAAATTCGTCCGTCCCTCATCATGTGCTGTGACTACCGGAAGATCGGTTTAATTCCAAACATCTCTGTTTAGTTAATGTGACCCTGCACTTCCCAATAATCACACAATTAAGAGTTTCATTGATGGATTACACCCTCTACTATTTGCCTTTTATTCTGTCCAATGGAGCTGGATTTGCAGACATAACACTTCATTAGCAGACCTGTATTTTCAGAGTATGTACGCTTTGACATTGTTGCCAGGTGTCAAAATGAACCAACTGTGGCTGCTTTGAATAAGGAGATATGTGATGCTGGGAGGAAAACAATAAAACCCTTGAAGAGATTGCCACTGGCAATGACAATGGTTGGTACAATGTAGGCTGCCAGACAGTCAGTGGTATGTGGATGTTGAACTTTGGCCAGATATTGAGTTTCCTGAGATATATATGTGTGTACCTCGACACTGGGGAGGTAATGGAAGTAAACACAACCTGCAGGGCATAGACATACATAACATGCATGGTGCTATTTTTAAGAATTTGTCAGCCTGATCAAAACCACTAGGACTTCAAAAACTTTTCTGGTCATCTGAGGACAAAAAATGTTTTGATTTTATTACATTTCATTCATAAAACAATTTGCCTGGTTAGTGACCATTGTCCAGCCTTTCTTTTCTCTGAAGCGTTCTGCCTGAATTCTTTTTGAATCTGTTTGTGCAGTCAGTTGTACAACTGCTCCATTTTAGCAAAGTTTTCCATTATTTTTTAGTGCACACTGGCAGATGGCTGAGTCCTGTGTGTGTGTGGCTCTCAGAGCAGTGTGATTCCCCCGGTGATGTTAGACTAATGACATATATGATCTGCACAGGAACAGAATCAGTACAACTCTCTGACTTTCCTTGGGACATGTTGACCTTGTGTTGTTGCTCTCCGTAAGGTTGCTATTTTTATTTATTTTTTTTTTTTTTTTACTGTTAGCGTTTTTTGTTTTTTTTTGGGGGGGGTAATAAGACAGGGTAGACAGGGAGTTTTTCCATATTTGAATTTAGATGTTGTATACTATATAGCCCTTTAAGGCAGATTTGAAAATGGGGGGGGGCAAATAAAATAAAACAATTGACTTTGCTATAAAATAAATACAACACTAAATAGTGTTTGTAAAGCAAGGCTCTAACACTGATAAGGACTCGCTCGGTAGTCTTTGCTTAAGTGAGGCTTCCTTTTATTGTAAGATTGATTCAAAAGCTACTCAACCTTTTCAATTCTGTTTGTAGTAACTCAGAATGATTTTCCTGTGGTTGATTTCTTTGAAGAATTGTGTGATGTACAAAATGAAAACAAATGCAATCTCGCCCAACTTTTACTTTGAAAGTGGCAGAGAGAAACCTTGAAAGATGTTTTACATTTCAGTAGAGGTTGAACGATAAAGGATTTTTAAAGGACGATAAAATAACCATAGGTATTTTTAACTTTTATGTATTCAATATGTATTGATAAATTTAGATAAATTTAAGTTGTATGGGGAAAATTATACTGCAATTGTTTCTGATGTTAAAATAAAACCTTTCAGATAAAGATAAGTTTCCTAGAGTTGGAAACAAATAGTCATCATCACAATAATCATCATAGCTTTATAATTTGCGAAAAATGCAAAAAGTGAATTATCCTTTTTATCACCACATTAGTCAGATTTTTTGGGGTTGTCATGCATGATGCCCTTCACTTCTGCAGCAGCCTGGTAAGACAATGGTCCATGCCGTTTAAACATGTTCTTTGTCGCTCTGAATTAAATCAAGAGTAAGAGAATATCCTTAAGTGTGATTTGGTGGATTACATTGTTGGAATATATGCTACTTATTTATGAGCGATGCGCTGTTCCTTGGCTCATGACAAGCCAGTTGCACGTCCTGTTACATTGTTTTATGCTGCTCTTACAAACCATTAGTGTTGATTTAATTTCAGGAATGGATAGTTATGTTGCTGGATTATCTGGAAGAGATAACACCAAACTGTTAAGTAAAATAACAGGTTTCTTTTCTGCTACACTTTCAATTTTGTCCCCAAGGGCATTTGGTGTCCTCCTTATCTGCCTGTCTTGTATCGTGGACAGATCGGCCAAACTGATTAAACAGTCGGCCTCTAATTTGCAGTAATAGTAGACAACATATTATATCTTGTTTAAGGTACAAATGTGCATATGTTTCAACATGATCTATTAACATGTACTAGCACATTTATCTTGCTGAGGATTGGTTCTCTACTGTAAGGTACTTTAGGCAAAAGCATCTACTCATTTGCATGTTATGAATAGACAGTGATAATAAGAGACAGATTGCTCCTGGGAACCCGGGACTCACAAGTGTCGCTCTGCTGCTCTCGACTCAAATGAGCAAAGTTAATATAAAGGGCTGAAGGTGGCTTTGTTCCAAAATAAGATATTTGAAAAAGTGACACCTTTGGAAAAGAAGGTGAGTATTTTGAAATGGTGACAGTACAAAACTTAACTGAGATTTCAATCTGGAAAAACAACTCCATTCTTTAATTTACCCCAATTACCTCATTCAAATAGGGGTTAACTTTGTTGAGTTTAGAGAACCTTGAGATTCCGTAATGTTCAGTTTTGCTCCTGACATCAGTAAACATTATGCATTTTCACAAACCACTAGTTTTCTTGACAGCCTCATTGTGATACTTGATGTTTAAATGCTGTGTTTTCTTCAGTGTGCTTTATTTTTGGTTGGTAAGGTAGAAAACAACCTCGCTAGCTAGCTGTTGTGGTTTGCTTGATCGCTGGCTTCTAGCCTTGTGGCAACATGTAAGGTAATTGCATCCTATCAGTTCTAAATTCAAAAGGGGACACCTATGATCAAATAAGCTTTAAATTACAAATCCTTCACATTTAACCACGCAGGACCCAATTTTCTTAACTAAATGCACCTGTAATCTGCCTCCAGATACAGATTATTTAGGTTAATCAGGTTCACCAGCAAAACAAAACTCAAGGTTTTATTCCTTTTCCTCCCACTGAATCATGAACTCTTGTAATTTTCTTTTTTGCTACCTGCAGGCAAGCTGATGGACCTCTGGGAAGGGTAAGGTGGTGAGATGTCAGAGGCCGATGCTATCTGTCCATTGCCCTGGACGTCAGTCAGCACAGTATCATTTACCTGCCGGGAAAAGGAGGAGAAAACCTTTGAGCCTGGAAGAAGTCTAGTATTTTAAACCCTGTTCTTTCCAGGCATGCATCATCATGCATTATACATTATACAGGCTACTATCCCAAGACCCAACACTCAGAGTAATCTTATGTCACTACACACAGTTTAAATCTCAGTTTATCCATGGGGACAGAGTTAAAACATCCTCCATGGTAATAAATAACAATTTTAAATCAATCTTGAGACTGTTTAGACTTGTGGAGCAGCTGCAAAAGGACTTAAAAGCGTTTCAAGGAATGTCTGAAGGAACTCTTACCAGCATCCAGCACCTGGGGCTTCCGGCGTTTGTACCACATACTATGATTGTGTCATTTACTTTCTGAATGACGGTGATGAAATTATCACACTCCAGCTGTGAGAGAAAGAGACAGTGAAAAAAGGGAACAAAAGCCGAAAATGAGGCAGAAGCGAGAGGGAGAGGGAGAAAAATACACAGATTATGAGAGGGATTAAAGATGCAGAGCGACACAGGCAAAAGAGGGAAAAAACAGTGGAGAGTATGTGGAAAAGTGATTATAGAGGACGAGACAGCACAAAGGGAGAGAGAAAACAAGAGAGAGACCAAGGGATTGAGAAAAACAAACAGAAAGAGAGGAAGGTGGAATAGAGGGATAGAGAAACAAAGCAAGAGTACAACACAAAACAGATTAGGAGAGAAAAAGCGGATTGCTCAGAGAGCGATTTTAAAAAAACTGGACGCGATCCATGCTCTGAACACTTTTGGCAGACAGCACACAGGAGGCTTAGCCCTGCAGTACAACACTGCAATACTCCATATGCATCACTTATTCATTAAGTACAGAAAATGGACTGCTATCTCCAGGAAAATAGTGGATAGAGGATGAAAATGAATACTGAGTATTCCCTTAAGGGGCAAATTCTGGTTTTAGGTTGCTCATGTTTGTTTTTGTAGTATTTCTTTATCAAAAGTGTGCTTTTTAGAAAACAATCAAATCACAAATTCTGATGGAAACAAGTTTAGCAAAAACTGGAGACGGAGGAAGTACATCACTAAATCCAAAAACAGGGCCAGAGCTTGTGTAAGTGTGTGTAGGAGGATGTGTAGGTGGATGTGTAGGTGGCTGGGTAGGTGGATGGGTACGTGGATGGGTAGGCAGGTGGGTGGGCTGGGTAAAATGTGTGTGAGTGTAAGCAAGTTTGTATGTTCTTGAGATGAACTATGAGTTTTCCTGCCTTCCATTGTCCACACAAAAATCTAGGACTGAGGTCATAAAATCAGAATTAGGTTTAAAGGGTTAGGTGTACAGAACAATGTAAGTCTGTGTAGTTGTGGACGTGTCTTTCCGGGGCCAATAGCTGATTTCAACCTCAAACTAATGTCTACTTGTGATGCATCTTTATATTTTACTGCACTGCTTGGCAAAAAGCTCTCAACACTGCTAAAAAACAACGCTCATTTGAATACCAGCCCTGTATCCCTAGGAATTCTATTCATATTCAGTGATTCCGCACCTCATGATTTATGTCCAACGCCAAAGTTCGGTTCCCATGCAGGAAGTAGTGCGACCTTTATGTAGCGAGGCAGTAAGGCTTTGGAGGTTGGTTGGTGTGCAGGCATGTAGCATGTCAGACTTTCATACAGGAAATTGGAGATCACCTCTCATTGCAGAACTCAATTAACATTCACCTTTCTATAAAAATCAATCTTTCCCTAACCTTAAGTGTTTTAGTTTCCTAACAGCAACCATACCTTAACCTTGACCATACCTTAACTGTATAAGGTTAAAGCAAGATTTAAAATTTGTTCTTGTTCTGTTCAACCTGGACCATATTTGACTTTGGTACTCAGCAGGTGAGTTAAATGAACCATCTGTCTATCACTTCAACCAATCAGATCAACACACCATATAATGTAGTCAAACTCGGACCAAGCTTTCAGGAGAAGAGAAAAGCCTTCAGTGGTGTTATTTGCTTTTCTTTCAAAAAAGAAGAAATACTCTTCAGTTTTTTGAGCAGCCACTTTTCCCATGCATTGTCGCACACACCTAGTTAAACCATGCCCATAGCTCAACCGTAGCTGCTATTAGTTTCTCATTTGACGCTGATTGGTCCAGCATTGATTTTTTGATCTTGTGAGTCCAGATCTTGTGACTCTGGACAAATTGAAGGTGGACAGCAGTCCAGTAACATTGTGGATTTGTGTGGTTGTTGGAAATACAGTCTGCCTATCAAATTGCTACCTACTGTTAGCCTCCTGTGTCCATCTCACTCCAGGGCTTTCCCACAAACCATGTGGCTGTCTATTCCTGAAGGAAGTTCCTCCTCTGCTACTTCCCAGCACCATTGGCCTTTTTGGGGAAGACTTACTGCATCACTCAGGATGTTATAATTTTCCACCATCTGACACTGCCAGACTCTGAAGCTTTAGCTCTGTTTGTGCAGGAAAAACAGTGCCCTCTTTGTTTTGTGCCATAACTCCACTAACACTTTTTCAAATGAATTGAATGAATCGCTTTAAATTGCAAAAGCACTCTTGTCCGAATGACAATATGCTCATGGTTGCCACAATACTCCAGTTGACAATGTTGCATTTACACATTATGTGTGTTAAAATGGGAATGACACACTTTTGTAAGCAAGATGTACTAATGCAAACCTAATCATGGATTTATTCAGAGAACTGGTTAACTTATTCTACAAATAAATTGCTGAGCACATAATGCTGATATTTTGGAAGGTTACTTAGGTATGAACATTTTAGCATTGATTGTGATGTTCAGATACATTTCTCATCACATCCATCCTTTTAGTAAGGATTCTATTAAATGTTTTGGGGCCAGTGGGCATCATGTGACCTGGTATATTGACTGTGACCACTATGGCAAAATCACATCACAGGTAGAACCCACCACTGTTCCTGCAGGTTTGTTCCTGATACACTCAAAAAACAGAAGTGAACAGCAGCAAGGACAGGGGTCGCACAGGCATTTGGTTCTATACACACTATTCAGAGGCTAAGTGTTAATATTGCTCAACTTATGATAAAGAGTTCAGTCATATTTTAAGTATTTCAATTTGGTTAAGCAGCAAGGTAAAAATGAATTCCCTTTTTTGTCATGGAGCAAATGCATAATTTGACATGGGTATAAATGCAAAATTTGTTTTAATGATCTTGTTAATTTCCTGTAACTATAAAATTCATCAAAATGGATGTGGGAATTATTCATTCATGTAAAATGGTAAAAATTGGTCCTGGTATTTAAAGTACAACCTTTAAATACAAAGACATCTGTTTCTCCATTCGCCATAGTCTGTCTTTTTTGTCATTAGGATTTCTTTATTTTTTTATGACAAGCAGCATATTAAGCAACACTGTATCCTGTGCTTCTTAAGATTATTCATTAGCCTCGGAGCATTTTATATTAAGTTAAAGCTTCCCACGTACGTAGAATTATTTCAGGTTGAATATTGTATTAAACTCCCGGTATTCTCTTAGTCTCTCTAAGGAACCTAATGGAATTATTCACTGCTATTATCAACAGTTCACTCATCTGTGCATTGTTTGTTTTGAGGTAAAACTGTCTCCTGTGTAATTTTATCTGTATAAATTAGCATTTGATGTGTATTTGTTTGTCTTTGTTGTATATTTAATAATTATTTGCACTCTTAAATCATAGGAAAAGAGTAATATTAACCTAATCTAAAAAAATATGATCTTATAAAACTGTTGTTACCTCATTGTAGTGCAAATGATGATGATGGTGACAGTGATGAGAAACAGGATGATATCGATGATTATACACTGATGGAGGAGGAGAGTGCTTTGCAGATGTTATGGAGGTGCTGACAGTGAGGATGAGCTTCTACCTCGAGTGGTGCAGCCTTGGCCTTGCAGGTATCAATTGCAGTCTGATCAGATGCCGCTGGGATCTGTAGGAGGGAGGACTGATTAGTTTGTGCCAAGTTCTTACACACTCCTGTTTCAGCATGAAAACAGCAACCCTGCTACAGCTGCTAAAACACAGTTACTCTGTGAAGTTCACTGCATTTAAGGAATTTTTTTCTTTTACATTATTATTCTACCCCTGCGTTCCTACCCCTACCTAGCTCTTGTTCTTCACATTTCCCAGAATTCCCCCAAAAGCATGTCCATGAACCTGTTGCAATCAGCATATGTAGGTGGAAAGAGCATAGAACGGTGCAAAAAGGCAGAATTAATTTATCCTTCTGAGAAAACTGCTGAGCTTTGTACCCTTCAGTTAAACAAGCATTGTTTCTGCATTGCAAAGTAGATTTTCTTGAACCTTTAAATGTCTCCCACTACAATTGTTGAATCTTAGAAAAGAAGCACCCGCTCTTTCGTTCCATGTGGCTGACATCATGAGTTGATGTTTACTGTTGCTGTTTTTAAGAACTGAAAACTGTTTTTTTCTTTTCACTGTTATACTTCAGCAAACCAACCTGCAAAGGAAATGACTCAACCTGACAAGATGTCACTTAATTGTGTGACTGAGAAAAACACATCATCACACATCAAAATAGTCCCTCAATGCCAAACACGTCATTGTTTTTCCACCTGTCTTTTTGTCTGCACTGAGGAAAACCCAACACTAAGCCTGTAATCATTCCGAAAAATAGGGCATAGTCATATTGGATGAAAACACCAAGCTTACAGTCTCTTCAATTTGTCAGGACAGTCAGTGCTGACACTGCCCACACACTGTGTAATGTTATGTGTTGACATTATTAGCTCTGTCAGTTTTTTTCTTTCCTCACGGGGAGAGATAGGTGTAGCTTCATTAATGTATGCATGACCCAACTTCCTCGACCCTGAGCTGCTGAACTGGGTCAGTGGCAGGCCAGCTGTCTCGTCTCTCTCTGCCCTCTGGCTTACTGGTTCACCCTCACAGCAAGAGGGCAACTATATTTGTTGTTATCCAGCTGAGTCTGGAAAACAGTTTTTGCGGGAATACACATTTCAAAGTAAGAAGTTTAGTTTTACTTACTACTTAGTTGTCATGTTAAAAACTTTCCCTGAGATAGTTGCAACTAAACTCATTTACATCAAGCGAACATTGATTTGGAGCCAGGTTGATTCCATGAAATGCAGTGGAATTTTGATCTACTGTATGTCCACTTTTTCTTGAGGTTATGATGACTAAAACTTAAACAAGAAATTTGAAAGAATTGCTCCCAAGAAGACCTCAAATAGAGACAAATGTACTGGCTATTTACCACAAAAAAAGGTACTCTTTTTAACCAGCCACAAGTTACCAGACATTTTAAGAATATGTTTATTCACTTCTTGCTGAAAATTAGATGATCTAATATCCATGTATTAAGCATAGAGCTGAAACCAGGATAAAGTTACTTTAGCTTAGCTTAAAGCCTGGAAGCAGAAGGAAACAGCTAGCTTGGCTCTCTCCAAAGTTCAAAAGCTACCAACACCTCACATATCTGTTTGTTTAATGTGTACACAAACAAAATTATAAAAAAGTTCAGTTTAGTTATAGAGCCATTTACGTGCTGTAACTGTTTCTCGACAATTTATCATTTATCCATCCCCCCAATTCTCCACTGGCTGCTGGGACAACAGAACTTTAGGAAGTCTGTTGACAGTAAGAAATAGTTATGGCACGTAACTCCCCATAAAACCACAAAGTAGCTGCTGGCTAGTTCCCACCTCCTTCCAGTCTTTATGCTAAGCTAGGCTAATGTTAGGCTAGGCCAATTACCTGTTGGCTCCAGATCCATGCATGACACACAGAGAGTAATATCTCTTCAAACTATAGTCTAATCTCTAACAACTATGCTATCCAGAGTAGGTTTATTGGTCTGTGCTCTCACAGTCCCACATATCATTACTTGGAAGCTGCCCAGTCAAACCTTGCTCAAGGGCACCTCAGCAGAGACAGCGAGGCAGGAGCAAAGGGCTCTACAGTGCCTATTTGAGAATCAAACCAGGACCTTGTGAGACAAGTTTGTAATGTTGGCTTTTGTAAATAAAATTAACTTGACTTAAAGGCCCTGGACACACACACGCACACACACACACACACAGAGGTGTTTTGGATTAATCTGCTTGATTAGACGTCTGCTCAGGCTGAAGATGGGCTGAGCTATGCTGGGAATTACTGTATGTGACGTCACACGTAGCAATATGGCTGATAAAGGTGTAAGTTGTCCTACCTTAACAACTGCAACAGGAGAGTAAGGGAGGTTTCATCAGGCAATAAAACTGAAAACATACATGTAGTTGTACCAACTCTTGTTACAGTCTCTTCTCTGCTTTCATGTTGTGCATCTCCAAAGTGTCTTTTGAAGTAGACAGACATAAAAGCTTGGCAGTATTTAGTATTTCAACTGGTGTCTGGCAACTAATATTCTATATCTACTTTCTACATGGCAGCAGAGTGGTTCCCCATTACAAAAAGCTGTCTGGAGCTGAGAGATTAAATCCCCCAAAACATCTCTTTAGAGCATCTGTGTACACATCAGCAAAATGATCTAAAAGTATACCTGTAGGTCGCGGACCCCTCTGTTAGTGAACGTCAGCACGTAGACCATCGCCTGGCCGCCCACATACAGCGTGTCACTCCCTTCCTGGTGGTACATGCTGATGTAATTCTCAGGTTTGTTGAAGTGGAACCTGGAGGGCTCTGTGGATCATAACAAGATATATTATGGAGGCAAGCTGGCAGACAAGAGCCTTGCTAGAGTACATTGTTGTTGTTTTGATTGTTAAAATGTATGTTTTTGAATGAATGCAAATGAACTGAACTAAAAAAATACAAAAATCAACAACAGCACCAGATTTTCTTACATTACTGCCACACATTTTTACTAGTACTAAGTAAATCTTTAAGAATAAGAAAGCAGAGGAATACAGAGTACAACATTTTTCCAAAAACAGTTTAAAAGCAATTTTCAAATGATAGGGAATCAATCCAATCAACAGCTAAAGCAACAATAACAACAACAAAAAACAAGGTACTGCAATAAAAAAGATTCATAAAGTAGAGGTCATACAACAATAATAAAAGGTCGATGAAAGCAAAATTGAGTCTCAGGAAGTTATTTAAAAAGATGATCCAGATTTAGCCAGCCTAAGCTCCTCAGGCGGTTTGAATACAATTCTAGAAGCCCTGATGGCAAAGAGCCAAACCTCTGGATTTTAATCTACATTTAATCTGCAGTCAATATGGGAACCAGCTCAAGGACTCCTGCCTATGAACTGGTTTGATTTACCCAAACATTCGATCTGACATTACTGCCCTTTGTGATTTCAGATTAAACAGGGAGACTTTACAGAAACCTGGCTTGGATGTTAAAGGAAAAGGGCATTTGGTGGGAGCATAAATATCACTGAAATAATCATGTGGGCAAATACCATCACACATGCTTGGTTGAATTACACGCAGGACACCTCCAGAAGGCTCAAAAGTTCATTTTGGCATTTCTGATTCACCCATCCAATCAGACTCACACTTACCTACACTGCCAACTGTGCCTGCATTTAAAAATAGATTCAAATCACTGCTACTATTTAAGACATGGCATGCAAAACATGTACTAAAAGTCATCTTGACGATATAAAAACTGCCCTGTCTATGAATGCTATAATTAAAAGGGGGGTTTATAAAACATCACAGTGTCAAGCCCTTTAATGGATCTGCCAGCCTTTTTCTTTCATTTGGTCTCTGCTCCAAAAGTACATTTTTCCATTTATTTTGTCAAGAGAAATTTCAATAAATTTCAGTCTGAAGAGTTTAAAACCTTCCACAGCAGAGCAACCAGCTACCTGTAGGCTTCTGGCAATAGATAAAATGATATACTGTAAGGAATTTGAGTAGCAGAAAATATTACAAAACCAGGAAATTTAAAAACAGGAGGAATAAAGTCAGAAATGACTAACTTATTCTACAGCTTTCATTTTCCCCTTTCATTTTCAACAATGATGCATTTTGCTCTTGGTCTTTCAATATAAAGATATACACTAGTGATGACAAGAGGTGATTATACAGGTCATGGTTATATGGTATTTGTGATGATTTCCTTCTTATCCCTGAAATAAAAAATGACATCCAGTCTGACAGCAAAGCCAAGATGAAGTGGTGGTGATCACTGATACAGGTTGCTAGCCAACCAACTAAGTTTCTATGGAAACAGTGGCCTCTCTGATTGGCAGAAATCTAATTGATGAAGCTTGTACTTCATAAGGAAGTGAGGAATACACAAGGAAGGTGTGGCTGATGGCTTAGGTAAGAACATATATATTAATTTCCCTGTCTGACAATCTCGAGAGGAACACCCTGTAGCTGGCAAAGCACAGATTGGCATAAATATTTACTTAAGAAGTTAACAAGCAGAACTTTATAGCTTTGCAAGTATGCCTCTGTTAATTCAGTCTGGCTTCAACAACAGAGAAAAGGTTAATCTTCTGTAAGAGAGACATCAAGCTCAAACAAAATCAAAATCAAAAGCTAAATAGAAAATAGCAGCTGGTGTTAACATATACCGCCCTACCAGCATCCAGTTATGCTAAAGAGCTTATAATAAGCTGTTTCTTTAGCAGCTGGCTAAGGATTTTTCTTGCTAGTCCTTTTTAAGTTTAATTTAATATATTTGACAAGACTACAAACAACTGAGCTAGTAGCTCGCTATGTGCGATAAAAATAATGAATAATAATGAAATTGATGGCCAATATCTTTCATCCAAACTGTCTCAACATTCTGCCCTATCCTGACATCACCCAGTGGTTTGTGAAGTATCACTTTGAAGCTTCGATTTTGGCATTAAAGCTGTTGCCAGGGCTTATTTTTCTAGCCAGCAGCGCTGCGCTCATTGGTTGAACTTGGTTTGCTGGTCATTTACTTTCTTGTACTATGATGAACAGTATTCTAAAATATTGTTTTTGAATAGGAGCATCATTTGAAAAATGAACATCATGCTGTATTAAAGAAGACTTGAAACTAGTGACTGAGAACATAAAGCAATTAGGAAAACGGTTTACTGAGGTAATAAATCAAGTGAGAGACTCAATACTATCAGACTTCTGTTTTGCATCCCATGGAGCTTCCCCTTGCTGGCCATTAGAAAGAATGCAGGTTTAAGACACTTTCACGTAGTCTTCATTTTACAGAACCAGAAGCTCTATTCACTAATTATATACTGTCAATGCTTTACATTAAATTTACCCTTCAAGTTTTAAAACTCTTGTACCATTTCTGTAAAGAGTATCATACAGTGTAACAGAACTTGGTTTAAAACATTATAGGTACCCAGTTGAGATTCTGACCACCAGTAGCAATTAGTGAGCAATGTTTTCATGAGTGGGTCCCCAATTAATTTGTTCTCGTACACACTCATGAGGATGAGCAGACAGGTGACATAATACACATTCCTGCCAACGTATTCACACTGTTCCACTCATCTACGGGTGGCAGTAATGTGTCATTAATAAACAGGGTAAAATTAGACTGCTACTTTAGCAAATAAACATTGACAAAGAGTTCAGGTTTCAAAATGTTGTAAAAAATCTTGTTTGCAAATGTTTCTTAAGAAAGGATGATGAGTTTCTTAGGCACAAACACAAGAAACAAACGCATTGCGTCTAGGTGAGCAACAATGAATGAAACACAAAGCTAATCTCCTCCCCCACCTATCCCTGATTGAACAAAACACCTGACTGTCAGATGCTCTTTAAACAACCAAAAGCACGTAGACACATGTCATTTTAACAGTGTCTTTCCTAACAGAATTTCAAAAGGGTCACACATATACAACTGAAATGTCCTATTCTAGATGTAATTGTAACTCCTGACTTCTCTCTTGCACTCTCTATGTGTGAGCATGTTTCTTTTTCTTTCTTGCATAGACATTTAATCATTGCTGCTCAGTGAAATCCTTGAATTTTCAAAAGGTCAGCTTTTCAGGAACTGAGAAAAACAGCCTTGTTTTTCCAGCTTGTTTTCTAAAAAAGGCTTCATTAAAGTCAGGGCCTGCAGAGTTCATTTACCCTCAGAGGAGCATGTAATCCTTGAATGAATTTAAAACATTTTAAAATTAGTGAGCCACTTTTAAAGAAACAAATCTTAATTGCACTTAGAAATGTTCTAATTAAAGAAGAGTAAAGCACAGATGTTATTTTTAAAAATATTTTCCACTTGCAAATGAATAAAGCATTCTGGGTATTGAAAAGAAACAGCAGAGGCAAAGTCGAACACATGATCAACTTTGTTTTCTGTTTCGCACCAGCAGATCCCATAACAGCTGCTATTTCATTTACATAGAATATTTTAATGCAAAGTTTTTTTGTGGATGGATCTCAAGGTCCTCCGTTTTGGACTTGACAAGAAAATCTATCAGGCTCATGGTTCAATAGGGTTTTTGTACTGAGGTACTCCGGCCTTCAACTGAGAGAGAAGGTCAACACAAGAGATAGCTGAACTTTGGCAAAATGTTCTGGTATTTAGGATGCAGCCATAGATGTCAAATTAGCCTTGAGATGAGCTGTTGTCTCTCTTTCAGTCTTTACTCACTCTCTTTCTTTGTATTTCTCTTCATATCTCTCCTCCTTTACATCTCTGATTTAGATCATCTCTCTTTGTGTTTGTCCTTTCCCTCTCTCTGTTCAAAAAGAGGTACACAAAATGTAAAGTAAGGCAGACTTAATTTTTTTCTTACCCTTTTCCCTACCTAATCCGAAATATAATCCCTTTGCAGTCCCTTAAAGAAGTGGAGAGAAGCAAAATACATTCTCACTTTTACCAGCCATCCTCATATATTCCCACCTGAACAAACACACATATTTTTACACAATCGTGTGTGTGTATATATATATATATATATATATATATATATATATTCAACATTTCTATTGTTAGTGTTATAATTTTGTATTAAAGCTACACTAATTGATATTTTTATATTATGATTGGCTTAATGTCTATGTGTAATGTGAAAGGGGTTGGTGGTAGTGATGAACTCACAGAGAGTGTTATCAACCATTCTCACCCCTGATTGTCAAATACCAACACTTTGTCATGCCTCCTCTGCAGCACCCTTTTAGCGCTTGTATGAGAAGCACCAGGCTCCCAGAAAGCCTTTTTAAATTAAAACTTAAAATAACTTAACATTTACTTTTGGTTTCACATGGGGCACAAACCCCAGTCTCCTGTGTTTGTTTGACTCATCCATCCACCCCACCGACTCCAGGTGTTTTGCTCTTTGTACTACATCAGTTAACATGGATGGATTTTACATTGAAGCCCAATGTGTCTCATACAGACGCTAAACTGTACCCTGTGTGTCTGTATCAGACACTGAGGAGCATGACAAAGTGTCAGTATTTGATGACCTGGGAATGAGAACGGTCAGTTTTTCACATCTTTCGGCTGACTATTTGTTTTCAGAGAAACAGCTCTAATTAACTAACTTTACACCATCTGCCCAGCACCAAAACAGTAATGCTGCTTTAACAATATTTTTTTGTTTTCATATTATTCAATGTTAATTAGAATTTGTTCTTCTACGGTATGTGCCCATTCCATGTTGTTGATGATGATTGTTTTATTCATATATACAGTATGCAGGCCGGCACTGAGTTTAAGAACACCTGATAAAGCTATTATAGACCTGAAATAAGTCCTACTTTCATTAAGGTTACAATAGTCAGTATTTGTTGAAAAGCCTCAGAGGCATGTTGATTCAACTTAATGGGCATTGCGGAGACTGTCGTTTATGGTGCTGTTGAACTGCACTGCATTATACTGAGAGGTGTAATAGTTTGTCTATCCAATTTATATAAATATGGCTAGACTAAACTCTCTAAAACAGTTTTGTAAAAAACTAGAAATGATTACATTTATTAAAGTAGAATTTATTGTGCTTGTTTGCTCTTAGTTGTTTGTTTGGAAGGGATGCACTTACAACCTCAGATGACATCTTGTTCCTACTGAGGTGTAATGCACTAAAGTGTCTGCCAAATCAATGCAATGTAATGTATTCCCTAACCAGTGTTATAAGGAGTTTGCTCTAGACCTGCTCTATTTGAAAAGTGTCCTGAGATATCTTCTGTTGGCGCTATACAAATAAAATTGAAGTGAATTGAATTGAACCCCTACAATAACTCCAGCCACGACAGCATGTCCTCCCTTAACTCTTAAACTAAATCCAATTGTAACCTAAATCCCTGAATCCTTGAATGTATATGGAAACGTGCAAAGTGAGGACATTTTACCGTCTGAGGACCTCGGCGCTGTCCGTGGTGCTGAAACAGCGCCAGCTCCTTCAGGCTTAAACTGCGCCTGAAGGATTTGATGGATTTCTTCGGACAGTTTTCTACCTGTACACTGTGTGTGTGTGTGTGTGTGTGTGTGTGTGTGTGTGTGTGTGTGTGTGCGTGTGCGTGTGCGCGCGCCCTAACAACAGGCATTTATAGCTCACCCTGAAATTGCATAACAACGAATTTGATTGATATGACATGCACGTCCGGGGCCGTCATCTTGTGCGTTTTGTACTGTGCTCATCGGCGGGGAGGGGAGGGATACAGATACAGATAACTTGACACACAACCCCCATCTCCACTGATTGCTGAATACATTAGAGGACTGTGTGAGATGTAAAGAGGCGTGAGTGGAATAGATAACTAAGAGTCTGCTAGGAATTTTCCATTCATTGCTGTCCCCTCCCTTTCTCCCTCTCATGTCAGTATATTCGTACATGTAGCCTGTGCACTTATGGCGGCTGCTTCCCTAAAGCAATCCTGAAGCCACCGGGCTCCTCTGCTGCAGTGTGAAAGCAGCTGCCGTGTCCCGCATTGCAGCTCCGCAAGGACGCGGGAGCTACAGTGACTGTGTCAACCTCCAAAGAGTCATATTTCACAGTAATGCTTTTCGGCGGTGGCAGGCGGGTGTTTAAAGATTAGCCTACAGCCTCGCCTTGCGTTAAGGGCGAACTGGCCCCAGTGTTCCTCCAGAAGACAGGGGAGAGGTTGTTTTTGAGCGCTTCTGGTTTTATCCAGCTCGGTGCGCCTGGAGGAGGTGAGGATATGGACGGACGGTCGCAAATTAGCCTAGACCCTAGGTGCTCCTCACTGATAAACAACCAGCCATGGTGCATTTTAAAGACCAGCACACAGTGAACTCAGTGCACTGAGATAAAGCAAACACTGAAGTTGTCAAAAAGACGAGGAGAAAAGCCACAAGTTGCACAAATCAGATTTAAATTATTCAAATGTGCCTTTGTGTACAAAATAACCTGAAATTTTAATGGACACAAATTGGCTCAGAAAACACTCAGCTCACAGGTTTACTCTGTTCGTGATCTCTTATTAACACTGACACAGTACAATAGAATTAGTTTTCCTCCAGATGCTGATCCTGTTATAGTCTGTGAACATGTGTGGGGGGCCTGAATGGTGGAGCGCGTAATTTACTACTTGCTCTGTGGGGGGAGGGCGGTGTTTTAAAGAGATTAATCCAGAGGTAGCCGCGTCAATATGGCTTTATTGGTACTGTTTGTGCGGCTTTTGCAAAGGACAAGACAACATGGGTCAATGAGAAGAACTGGAAAATAACTGGCTACATCATCTCGTGACTAAACTCTCACTCCATTCATTCATTCACTCATCCGTCCATCCCTCCATCCATTCACCCATTCATTAGTCTCATTAGCCTACCATACACAAAACATAGATTAATAAAACATGCTTGGCGACATCAATAATTGGCTTAATGACTTGTGGTAAAAACAGAGAAAATACAGCTCTGCCTACCGTGCACAACAAATTTCAGCCGGGGTGACTTTCCGACGATAACCGTGGCAAAAAGCGACAGCAGGATGAAAGAATTCATCTTTCTTGAAGCTCTGCCGTGTGTAGCCGGGTTGTAAAATGATTTCACCGTACGAAGCGCTCCACAAAATCCCTCTTCTTCCCTTGCAGCCGCCTTTAAGGTCCCTCCCCGATCTACTGCGTCCCGGATCTGTGCCACCGACTGCTGGTCCCAGTCCTATCTTGTCCGTCTGCTCCGCCGGCAGTTCAGTTCGGAGAAGTCGGGGTATCAGGCTCCACCTCGGAAACAAAAGGCAAAAGGGGGGAGTGTAGTCGTTCCACGGGGGCGCAGTGATGAAAAGTGGGATTGCAAAAATTGCCAACAAACACACCACTTTTGGCTGACAATTACAAGCGTGTAGGATTACGCGTCATACCTGTTGCTGATAGTGAAAGATGATTTTAACAGATATTTTTGCATCTGACTGTACCTTTAAAAACGATGTTACTCCTCTTGTTTTTTTTTTTTCATTGATTTTGTTTTCATTTTACATCCGTCCATCCAGGTTCCAGCTTTTAAAATTTCATATTTTCTAATATTTAATTCAGCCCAGAAATATAATAACATAAACAATTAACATGCCTTTATTTATATGCAGACTTACTGAATTTCATAATGTCACATTCATTTCAGAGATGATGTATGATATATGAGCCTATATGCCATTTTCAAGGCCGTTTTATGTTTGCACACAAGCCCTCACACCAACTGCCAATAATTATATTGCCTCAGCAACTGCTTCTACTGTAATGTCTAATCAATATGTGTCAATAGTGCCTGAGTGCCTGAATGGGAATGAATCAGCAGTTTGGCTCTGCTGTGCTTGCATTTGTGAAGTTAATTGAGTCAAATTTGAAAAATTGGACCACTCTAAATGGCGAATGCCTGTTAGTGGAAGCAACTAAACAGATGCTTCCATTTCCATGAGATTGCTCTCTGTGTTAGGCACCATCGAAAGCCTCATTTGGGTTTCTGTGAGAAATTTCTGAGCAGCAAGCTTCTAGCAGGGGAAAATCAGCATGAGGCAATTCTGAAAAACTGAGGAGAGGTATTTCTGTATTCCCTCAATTCATGAGGCACTATATACCACACGCAGGTGGGTCCTTGGTAGAAACAAACCTGTAAAAACCCATCCACTAGGGGGGCAATTTCCTTTTTTCATCATCTTTCAAATGCCTTAATCGTCTCTCAATGTTTCCCCTTAAATCAATACCTTTGAGTTCAGTCAATCCGTCAGGGATGTAGCCCTTTGCTTACAAAGTTAAGAGCAAATTCAGCTCTGCAGGGATTCAAATTCAGTTGTAAAACTTATTAAACTTACTCATTACACCACACACATTTAACCTGAATCACGAAAGGTATACAAGCCTTAGAAATAGATTTTGTTCCCTTGTTAACAGGGTGAATTTGAGATATTTAGGGTTTAAATGAGTTTTAACAGGACAGATAAACACGTGTATATGGCTAGTTTGAATGTCAGTTGGACCAGCGAGTCTCAACCAGGGGTCCTTGAGGGGGTTATAGGGTGTCCCCAGAAAAATGGGGAATATTTTAATTTCACTATAATTTAATTCACTTGAAGTTAGCTTAATGATGGGATGTATAATAATTTCTATTCTGTTCATAGGTTTTACACTCTACACTGCCAACTACAGACAGTTGTGGAAGATGATGATCCCTGACATTACATATCAAACACAGGTCCATGGCCTGATGTGTGTCAATTTAGGGGTCCTTGACACCAAACAGATTGAGAACCACTGAGTTAGATGTTTTGAGTCAAAGGATTGATCTTATTTATCAGTCACTAATATCAGTTATCCCTACTGGGGAAGAAACCACATATGACCTCACTCAGCAGTGATGTCATGCTGTATTTAGCAGTCAGTGTGATGCTGAGGTGGAAACATTTCAACCACTAGATGGCAGCAAAAGCAGGCTTTTCAAGCTTTGTTTCACCACCCCAAGCCAACAATTCTGCCTCCTAAATCATCAACAGGGGTCTGCTGTCGCTTTCAGCAGCTTACTGTACTGATCAGCTGTCTCTTGTAGAAGGTTCTTTGGTGAAATCACCTGGCATGCTTTTTCCTTTGAAGGTTACAAATTCAGGAGAAAAAGAAGATGACTTAATTAGCTAGTTTTCTTCCAGTGCATGAAAACATGTCTGGAAAGTGGATTGAATGGATGAGACATTAGCATTATCAGACTATTGTTTTTTTATGTATTTGTTCATAATGATTGAAGGCAAACGTATATGATTCAAATTTAAACAGTCACCCCACCACCAAAATAAAGAAAACACATCTTTTACCAGGAAAAGCTCAGCTAAATATCACATTTTCTAATGCTGTTAAATGTAAGTAATATAAATTAGGGATAAAATAGTAATAAATGACAATGGTCAGTTAAAATGTAATCATTTGTTTGCAGCCTAAATTAAAAAAGCAAATTTCATCTCAAAGCTAACAAAATAAGTTAATTGTAACTACAAAGGGCAAAAACACAAATGGCGGTTAAAGGTAGCCTATAGCTTAATTGGATGGCAAACCTTAAATGAAAACACAATAAACCATGATTGAAACAGGTTGGACATTCACACAATCCAATTGGAAATAAAAGAGGTTGAAATTAAAATTAGCAAGTGGTGTGTGTGTGTGTGTGTGTGTGTGTGTGTGTGTGTGTGTGTGTGTGTGTGTGTGTGTGCACAGCTAAAGGCAGGCTCTGTCATCTTCTTAATAATGAACCTAAGACTTTCCTCTTTAATCCAAACCCAATCAGACTAAAGGCATCACAAGACGAAAACACCTAAAAACAATTAATGCAAATTGGTATATGCTTGTTAAATGTAATGCATTTGTGGTTTTAGCACCACTTGCTGGTGAAAATCAGTATAAACTAGTGGACTGCAGAATAACACTGGAAATATAACATGATTTTATGTTCAACGTAGGTGCAAGATTATGCATTTTATATTTTGCTTATTTGTTTTTAGTTATCTTAGTTTTACAGAGATGAAACAATGTGATTTAAAATTCAATAATAAACACATACATAAGCCACTGAACACCAAAATTGTTCTTGATTGCGCCAGCTTCCAGACTGTTATCATGTACCCGTGTATCCAAGTACTTAGCGTTTTAATTCAACTAAAAGACCAAAAGTCTTATGTTAAGGCAGAAATTACATCAGCATTTAGCTTAAAGCACAGCTGAGCCTGAATACAGCTGAGTTTGACTTAGACTGAAAGGTCAGGCCTGACAATGTAGATCTGAACCACTAAAAACTGCCACCGCACCAGACAAACCCATTTGAGGAAAGTACCAACATGACCTTTCCTCTTCGACAATGGTGGTATGAATGTCTTTTCATTTATAAAACCAACATTTTTATTTTCTGGTGTTTAATAAAAAATTCCCCAAAGTGTGACTTTTTATTTTATAATATTATCATATTACAGTATTTGTTGGGCAAACACGAATGTCTCCCTCCCCCTCCCTAGAAGCCTATACAATGATTAGGGTTTTTTCAGAACATGAGTTAATATGTAGAGTCATGCCCACTTCTGTCGCGGTAATTCAGCTGGAAAGGTTTTTTCTCCTCTCTCTCATCTTTTCAAGGACCTCTCGTCACCGCTCATCTCCTCGCTAAAGGGCTGTAGAGACCACCTTCGTCCAGTACAGGTCAATTCCAGCTGAGTCAGAACAGCAGAATGATGGTTGAGACAGTGAGGGCTGCAGGCAGAGTTAATTAAGACATTTTCAAGACCAAAATCGCAAAGACTATCATTCCTGATGCACTGTAAAATCTGTAACTGTAAAAAAACAAAGTTGATCTTCCAGATCAGGTATAGGTTTTGCACTGATTTGTCTTCCATTCAAACAAATCAGTGCATGAAAATGTAAATTTTATAGTGAAACCTATAAATAATATTTTTCTTTTAGATATATATTTTTAATTTACTTAATATTTGAAAGGCAGATTTTGAGACAATAATAAAAATAAGTGTATTTAGAAACAATCAACAGTCCTCCTTCTTACTTGTTATTCTATACCTAGCACTTTTCTTTTAGGAACTGCAGCCACATGAATTTTCAGCTGTTCCACTCTTGCTGTTAGCAGCTTGTAATTTAGGTGACCTAATCATTTAAGCCTATTCCCCTGTCACTCTGGATAACAGAGTAAGCCAAATGCCTACTGCGTAAAGGTAAAATGTTCTTTTGTTGGAAAGAAATGCTCCCATCTTTGCCATTAAACAAGAGGAGGAGCCTGAAACTAACCTAATAGCAGATGCGAAGAGAGATGTTCTCAGTGATGTGTATGCCACACATCATGGAAGGGGGAGTGGCTTATAAACACCACTTTAATCTGCCCCTCTGGCTTTCTGTCCAATGGGAGCAAATAGTTGTATTAAAATAGATAATATGACAGGCCAAGCTGGGGAGGATAGCACCCGCCAGACAGACCTATATAACAGATTGAGACATGCAGAGGTAATCCAAAAGGGTTTAAATCTCTGCTCATACACGTGATTATCTGTTTTTTTTTCTTTATTTTTTGTGGGTTATTCTGGGCAACTGCATTAGATGAAAAGATGATTTTCTGTTGAGTGAATCCACTCTGAGCACTGCAAGTCTCTAAACTGTACTAAGGTGAAGGGAGGGTCATTCATTGGTTAACATTTGGCTTAGCACTCTCAAATGCAATATTCTGTTTTAAACGGAGAGTCAGCAATGGCGGATATGCAGCAGGGGAGACAGGGAATGTCTGGAAATGTCTAAAGAGATTAATTTGTATTTTAGCATGGGGACGTGTGACAGTCACAATGGTATTCCTCACACACATAATCCTTCGTCTTCACTCAGGAAAAAAAAAAGGCAAATGTGCATTTGTGTGGCTTACTGCCAATTGTAGCTCCGTTGTCTTACAAAGGGGCAACAAGGCCATTTTTTGTCTCAAATTGAACACAGAGTCCTCACAATGGACTCAAAGCAGAGAGATTAAGTGCTTTGGTTATGCAAGAAAATGTGTCCTCTTGCCAATTTCCCAACAATGGACTCATTTCAGATGAAGATCCACTGAGAGATTGGTTTTAAGATGATTGGATCAGCCCCCCCCCCATTTGATAAAATTCCAAAATATTTTACATGAAACAATTCAAGGCAATACAATGCATGTTTAAATACAGGCATTTATTTAAGTACAATGAAAAAAGAATCGGTCATTTATGAACAAGATAGCAAATAAACAAACCTGTCAATGCTGTATTTGTATCATTTACATCCTCTTTTCCTGGCATAATAAAGCATTGCTTTGTGCGTAGTGCATCTACAGTTACAGTTTTTACACT